AGCGGGGCTCTGCGGGTGGCATTGACTGTGCGGCTTTGGCTTGCTTGCGTGTCTCGTTTAAAAAAAAAAAAAAAAGAAAAAAAGAAAAAAAACCGGCAAAAATTGTGTTTACAGCGAGACTCCGTTCAATTTGAGGGTCGAATTGTAACACGGGATGCGCTCGTAGTATTGCTGCAGCCCCCGTTTGCGCAGAGCGCTGTGCTGCGATGAGGTGGTTTCGCAGGGCTCCGTGTGCTGCCAAGTATGATAGGAATTCGGGATTTTCAGGGGAATGACTCAAATCGGGAGGCGTGCAGAATGAAACGTGAATGTGCGAGGTAGACGTCAGTAGTAAGCTTGAAACGGGATTTGATGCCGTTGATGATGGTTTCGGAAGAGTAGTGGGGGAGAAAAACGTTCTTTCTGTTCTGGGAGAGAAGAAGTGTAGTATCAGTTATTGGCTGGACTGGAGAGGGCACTGGAGGCTATCCCAGGTTCCTTGGGTTCGGCTTGTCTCTGAAAGCAGCTGGCAGCAGATGCTAAGGAAAAGACGATCAGCAGAGGCTGCTGAGCAGCGATGTCTCTGTCAGTGTCCTCCCAGCGCGCTGCACTGTGGAGCTGAAGGATTTCCGAGCAGAGCTTGCTCCTCTTCTTACGTTCATTAGCTTTTGATGTGTGCCTTTAGTATGATTTTTAGCCAGCTTATGTAGTTCCCGTTTCCCAGCACATGGTGATGCGAGTCTGTGATTTAACAGTGCTTCTTTTCCAGCTTTCATGTTGAATGTTTCATTTCATTCTGCATAGCTGCTATGTTAAATGAAGTGATGATTTTTTTTCTTTACATGTTTCTGTACATGTTTTGTCCTATTTCTCTAGCTGCTCCAGAGGAAAAGTCACTGCTTACTAATTTTTTGTATGGAAGCATTGGCTGACCTTCTTCCACCACTTTGAGATGTTTTCTGCATTTTGTATAGGGAAGCTCATAATGATGTGTGCTATTTCAACTGGGGAAGCTCAGCGTTTGTATAGAGCCATTATGATATTCATTTTTTTCTGTCCTGGGCTCCAATGTTTTGTTAACTGCCTGTGAGCTGTTACTTCCAGAGGAGTAATCACTGTGACTCTGTGATCTCTTGCATGATAATGCTTAACTTAGAGCCAGTTGATTTAAGTACATAGCTGAGTCGGTGTTGTGTTTTTTTTCTTCCTAATAATAATAATAGTTCACACACGTGGATTTTTATTACCATTTGTGTAGTATGCATACAACCTTTTGGGGTTCTTATCATTCGATCCTACAGTTTATTTTTCTGAATAACTCTGTACCATGAGTAAATTTTTTCACTGACCCTCCCAGCACCTGTGAAAGTTCTCCCAACAACAGATCCCCTTTGTGACTTAATTTTCTTTGGGGCTTTCATATAACGCTTATACGATACTTAAAGAAGGAAGAAGGGGAAAATATTCAACTCTTTCCTACCATTTCTCCTTCTCCACGAATAATCAGTCATTAGTAAATCCCCTGGCATCACTGCTTCAGAGCTTTTGGTAGGGAACATTGTGAAAAGCTTTTTGGAAATCCAGTTATGCTTTCTTGCCCAGGCATGTTGACTGATTCCTTCTTTCAGGGCACCGTAGCAGACTTGTTAATGTTTCTTCTGCGTTAAGTTATGGTGACACTTCACCAGTCATATTTACTGCCAGCTAACATCTGCTCTGTGACTCGTGTAGCCTACAGGGCAACCGTTCTTTGAATCTTCTGGCATTCTGTAGAGAAGGTAGTTACGTTGATGATGTGCCATTCATTTTACCTGCCACCTGTTTTACCGTACAGGTTATGTGCTACTGAACCTTCTGAATTGCATCATTTCCGAGAGCTGGAATGCTGAGATCTGGCTCTGCCCTGTAAATATTATCAGCTTTAGGAACTGGTCAGGCTTGCACTCCTTTCCCTCTCTTTTTGCTTTCTGCTTGCAGAGGCAGCGAAGTTATGGTTAATGTTGAGTTCAGGAAAAGGAGGAACTAAAGGAGACAGAGTTCCTGAGGCTTTTTTAGGCACTCATGATATGGAAAGGCCTTGTAGCGGGAATAGAATATCCTGCTATGTGTACAAATGATTTTTGATTTCAACAGAGGAATAAAATTCAGAAGATTAACAGAAATAGATCTATTCTTTAACAATAGGGAAAATCTTACAAAGATCCATAGTATTTGCTCAATGTGGGGTAGGACTTTGGGATTCAGATGAAATATTTCCACGTGTTCCAATTTTTTTCAGAGGTTGCACCAATATCATTATATGCATATTGAAGGTAGAGCTGAATGTTGAGATGGTAGAGAAGTCCTTGTAACCTGAGTGTTTGGGACAAAGGCAGTAAGAGAACATTTGTCAAACATCACATTTTATCAGCTCTTAGGGTATGTTTTTGTGTGGTTTTACTTATTGAATATCAAAGAAAAAAAATTATCCTTACAACTTTTTCACGACTTGTTAAGTAAAATAGATCTGAAAAATGTAGGTAAGGGATCTTCTAGGCTGCTGTGCTCATAATGAAGAAGACTCAGCAGTACTCACAGGCTGAGTGGTGGGCTTACCTGTTGAGGTTACTTTGGCAATACTGATAAGTGTAGTTGGAAATTTGGCACATGTTAAAGAAATGTTCTCTTTGAATTTAAGTAAGTGGAAGGATGCACCCTTTTGTGCCTCCCTCCCCCTTCTTTTTTTAATCGCCACAGTACTGTAAGTGCAGGGAGGAAATATCTGGATCTGCTTTGGTTGCAGGACCTGTCATTGAAATTGCAGGATTAACGAAAGTCACTACAATTGCAATAAGTTTCTGCAGGTAAAGGAGCTCTTTCAGATACACAGTTATCACCAAATCTATATTCTAGTGCTAATTGTCTACTTTGTTATTAAAACAGCCATAGAGAGAGAATATTTATCAAAATTTTAGGGAAGAGATGGATGGACCTTCAAGGCGATTGCATGAATAAAACAAGCGTGTTTCTTGTGACGTTATCTCAGATACGTTTGTAAACCTATAATGTGATGACTAGTATGCACCCTAAATTTACATGGACTGATATGTCTTTGATTTATCTGGATAAAAGCCATCTGTTTGGCATCCGTGGATTACTAGACAAATGTAATAGCCTTAAGCAGATTCGCAGCTCAGCTTGGGATGTTACTGTAATTAGAAGGAATCATGTTGCCTTTTAAGTAAAAACTAACTAATGCTTTAATTTTCTTTCATTTTTTTAAAGTCAAAATCTGTGTATATGTTGAAACTTGTAGTACTTATATGGAAGAGAAATGTTTGGTTGATGCTTTTTTGGTTGATGCTGACTCGCATTTTTCATGACATTGTAACACTGAGAGATGAGGAGAGCTCTTTTCAGATTGCCTTCACTTATCCACCTTAACTTAGGGAAAAAAGCTTTCTCGGTTACCAGATAATGCGTTTTTCGTATGTTGTAGAATCTTTTGAGTTGGAAGTACAGCTGGATCAGGTGCTTAGAGCCCCATCCAGCCTGACCTTGAATGTCTCCAGGAATGGAGCACTCACCACCTGTCTGGGCAAACTGTGCCAGTGCCTCACCACCCTTATTGTAAAAAAAAAAAAAAACTTCTTCCTTATGTCCAGTCTAAATCTCCCCTCTTTTAGTTTGAAACCATTTCCCCTTGTCCTGCTGTAACAGACCCTGTTGAAGAGTCTTTTCCCTTCTTTCTTACAGCCTGCCCTTTAGATACTGAAAGGTCACTCTCAGAGCTCCCTGGAGCCCTTCTCTTCTCCAGGCTGAACAGCCTCGGCTCTCAGCCTGCCCTCATGTGTCATCCCTGGATCACTCTTGTGGCCCTCGACTGTTCATGCTCTGAACAGGTACACATCTGTCCTGTACTGAGGACTCCACATCTGGATGCAGTACTTCAGATGTTGTCTCACCAGCACATTGGAGAGGAGCAGAATCATCTCCCTTGCCCTGGTGACCATGCTTCTTTTGATGCAGCTCATGCCCATCTGCCACCCACCAGTATCACCAAGTCCTTTTCAGCTGGGCTGTTCTCCATCCTTACATCCACCAGCTTGTACTGATTGCCCAAGTGCAAGACCCTGCACTTGGATTTATTGAACCTGTTAGAGTTCTGGAGCACATCTAAGTCTCTCTGAATGACAGCCCGTCGCTCAGGCATGTCAGACTGCACCACACAGCTTGGTGTCGTCTGCAAACTTGCTGAGGGTGCACTTGATTGTGCTGTTGATGTCATTGATGAAGTTGTTAAAACTCCCAGTACCGACTCCTGAGGGACATCGCTTGTCACTGATCTCCATCCAGTCACTCTTACACCTGTGCAATTTAGAGATGACCAGGTGGTGTAATGTGATCACGGTACAGTGCTATTACAAGCTTTTCTCTCCTTATACAGAGTTGCCCGAAAGAATTTTATAAACTCAGATACTCCTACTTGCTTTCAAGTTTAAAAACTATATTCGGATTTTTGGAAGTATACTGTGATGTGTGAAGTTTATAATCCTAGTGCTTACTGCTTGTAGGTTTTGGAATTTGACAGTCTGAACTCAGGCTCACTTTATCTGATTTGTCTTGAATCTTGGCACAGTTGTTGACAATCCTTCCCCTGCACCCCAGAGCACAAAACAGTGATTTTAAGAACCACTTTTGCTTCTCTATTTGTAGTGCAGCTTTCACAGTTCAGAGTAAACTTCCCTTGAAAAGAATGATGCACGTTAATGAATCACGTCAGAGTTCATAGGGCTATACCTGTGGGCTTTTTTAAATATTAAAAAAAAGTCAGCAAAGCTTCAGCTGCATTTACTAGGATTAAATTCTAGTATATTATCACGATAGCTTTAAGTTCTAGGATTTTTTTTGTGTGTACTTTCCTGTTAGTGATTCTTTGTTTGATTCTTGGTATTAATCAAGCTGTCTGTAAATTTTTTTTTGTGTGTGTATATTGGTGGAAGGAGGAGGACACTTTGTTTCTTTGTGTTCTTTTCAGATTTTGTTAGTTGCAGTGGGATGGCTCTGCCACTCTGTTCAGCCATGTGAAATTGGCCCCCAGATCCTCCAAGGTCTTGTTCATCACTGGAACAAGTGTCACTGCCAATAGGCAAAGTAGTGTCTGGCAGGCACTGGGTCATTACAGATATTTGGGTGAGTCACTTACCTTGTTAGTGAAATAGCTGCATAGGCAGAATGGGCACAGAAAGAAAATCATTAAGTAGTTACAGTAGCTTGGGCTGTTGAGAGACTTGTTCTTTTCTCTTCTCTCCCACCCACAGATTTTTAGGTTCAGTGTGAGGTTCTGGGAAACAGCAAATGTTGATTTATTTTTATTATTTTAATTTTGTTTTTAGCTTCTTACTGTGTCTTACCAACAGGATTTAAGGGGATTGTGGATTGGGTGAGGGAAACAAATAAGAAAAACAACTTCAAAAACAACAACAAATCAATTTCTCCTCTTCCCCCTCAAAAAACTGAAGCAGGAAACCTCTTGGCCCTTTTCTTTAGTTAAAGCTTTCCTGTGTTAAGTTGGATAGCCTAGAGAGATCCCGAAAACACTTTAAAATCTTTGCTATTTTATTTTTTCTATAATTAAACAAATACTGCTTCAGGTATGCATTGAATGCATTCTTCCATATGTTGTGGTGATTAAAACAAGTACTGCAGAGTACTAAAGGTGGAGTATCTTATGAACAGAGTGTATCCAAATTTGTTTTGCATCCCCACTGTCTTCATTAGGGATGCTCATCAGTCTCTTGCGTATTTCAGTGAGTCTATTTTAAGATGCGTTGCTCCAGAGAAACTGCCTAGATTGGCAAGGAAATGTAGCTGATGATTCTTAATCACGAGGTAGCTTTAAAAATCATTGCTGAGGTCCTGAACTGGCAGCAGAAGCCACGTGGAGCTGATGAGACGGTCTTAGCACGGAACTAATGGCTTGTGGCATTCCCTTCTGCAGCTGACATGGGGATTGTCTCATGCACATCTGAGTGTGGTTCTACATACAGTGTATGAAGATGATGCAAGTACAAAATGCTGACTGTGCTCTTAACTGGGAACTGCTCCAAAGCTAGTGCATTCTTCTGATGCCGTGAAACAATTTAAGCTACTTTTGAGGGTTGGTTTAACAGCTGAAGTTCTTTAGTTTAGCACTCACCAGATAGTGAATCTGTGATATATGTTTGTGAGTCTGATGTATTGAACAGTATGTACTGTATTGCTAGCTGCCCTTTCAAATCAAAAAGCTCTAGAATCCTACATGTGAGAAGAATATAGTTGCATTATCTAGATGGACGTTTTCATATTCCCTCTGTATGTTTGCATTCTCTATAATTGCTAGACATCCTTCTGAACCTGTCTTTCTGCTCATTTTCATTGTATCCTCTTGTTGGTGTACCTAGAAACAAAGCTTCGCAGAAGAGGAGCCCTGAAAACCTTTTGCTGCGAGTAACACAGCATGCAAGTTGCAAAACTAAAATATGGAGAATCATTGCATTCTACCACCTGCATTAGTCCTGTTTCCACTTCCAGTCAAGGGTTGTGTGGGTTAATAGATGCTGTGTCAAAACAGTTTTCTCAGTGTAAAGACCTGTGGGTTGGTGTTATTGTACTTGGAGGTAATTTGGCTGGTAAGATCTCTTAGGGGTTTCTTGAAAAATAGAAGCCAGATTATTTGGAATGAATTGCATATCTGAAGTGTTGGTGGTATTTTTGTAGAATTTCCAACAGCCATTAATGGAATTTTATGTTTTGAGTTTCAAATTCTTAATTAGAATGCATTCTATATATACTCGTAGTTTAATTTGCCTTTTTCCCATTCTTTCATTTGCAGGTTTCTCTCTCTGATGGATCCAACAGAAGCCGAATGAGTATGTAAGAAGTGTCTTCATTTTATTTTGTCTTTTGAATTACATTTTTTAAAAGCACAGTTGACTTCATTGGGAAAAACGAGAAGACTGCCTTACGGGCATCAGAAATGACAGGCATGAAGTCAGTCGTTTCCCTTAGGATGTGAATATCCATTTTCTTTTTCAGCACATCTTAGTTTTACAGAAAGAAAATGCTGAAAAATGCAAATGGGCAGAGGGAAAGCAGACAACTCTTTTTTGAATAAGAATGGCCACTAGATTGTTACAACACTTACGGTGTTTTCTCAGTGTCTTATGTGAACTTTCTGATATGTAATTTAGTACTTTCTGCACATTTTCCTCTCATCTGAGCAATAGTTATGTACTTTTTCATCCAGGAATATTTATGAACCTGCAGAAATATGCAGTGGGGTATTTTATTTTCTAGTGCTGAATGTTCTGTGGCACGGCTGTACACCAGTATGACCTCTTAAGAAGTTGACGTTAATTTGAGTGCTATTTTGCATGCTTCATGGTGTCCAAAAGGAGATTAGTGTGGTTTCTTCTCTGTTCACAAGAGACCTTGTGGGTAACAGATCACCCGCAACTGTCTAGTGGCTTAAGTAGACAGCAGTTTGGTTTTCCAAATGATAGCTTTCCCCATAATGATAAAAAAGCAAGGTTTTAGTGTCAGCATTTCAGAAGTTGCATTTCCAAGAGTGCGCTTAATAGAACATTAGGAGGAGTTAATAGCAAACTTGTCTGTACTCTTTAAAAGCTGTGGTGTCCATCTCAAACTGACTTGAGATTTTGGTCAGTAGTTGTAATTTTAAAAAATGGGAGCCTTCTTTCCTGAACAGGTGAAGAGTTTGTTTTCCTGTAGGTGGCTGTTCCTATAGCAGCTGATGAGTTAGACTGTCTAGATCTTAAATGTCAGAGCTGGATTTTACATTTCTGGCAGTGCACCAGCTCTGATGTTTCATGCATCTTATGAATGTGTGAATTTCTTTTGGTTTTCAGAAGGAAGGTGCTATGCTGAGTGGCTGTGCCAATGGAATAAGGCTTTTTCTATTCTATAGTCCTTCAGCAATTTTGGAGATGTTGCAAAGAATGGAGCAGCTTCCAAGGGAAAAGGCAATATAGCTGTGTATAGGCACTGCAATGAATTGTATAGGTTAAGTTAAACAGCTAAATATGTATTAGAAGTTCTTTTGCCTTCTCTCTGCCAATAAATCTCTTCAGCCTTTAAATAATAATCTTACTAAGACAGATTCATGTTAAGATTCACAGAAATTTGTCTTGATAAAATTGCTTTCTGGTTATGTGGCAGAAAACTATTGGATGGGTTTGGCTTGCTGTGTTTTCTCTGACACACATCAACAGAAAAAATTGAATTATCTACAGTGTCTTTATTCTTTTCGTGTGCAGGTGGTGTTTAAGTCTGAGCTGATTGTTTAAAAGATGTAATGAAGTCTGAGCCTAAGTATAGATAGATGCATCACTTATACAGCATAACATTGACTGTGCTTCTGGTGTTCTTTACAGTATAAAGAAGAAAAAATGTCACATGATTTAGGTCTAGTAGTCTGTCTCCCATGCTTACCTTAATCTTCTAGCTGTTAATCTAAAATGCTCTTACTATTTTAGGAGATGGCTACGTAACGCACATTGCCAGGAGTTGTACTAAATACTTCACTGCTGAACGGGTTGCTCAGGTACCCTGCCTGTTTTGTTGCTATGGGAGATTGGAAGACTGTAACTGTGCCAGTGCTGTCATCAGGTAAACTGGTCATATTTTAAATTTAGTAAATGTGCTAACCCTACCAGGGTGTTATAGTTGGTAAAGAGACATTAGGGCTTTAAACATGAGATTGATTTAACATGATATTAACCAGTCTAATAGTACAGTAATTTTTTTTTATAATAGAAATGCTGCTGGAATGCAGTCAAATTTTAAACTGTCCTTTTAAAATTATTGTTGTGATATATTTATTGTGTTTTATTTCATTCTAGATGAAGTTGTAAGCTCTAGATTTGTGAACAGCTATGAATAATAATTTCAGTAAAGGGATTTCATTTAAGTTTTTTGTATGTGATGTCCTAAACTACTAGTCCTGAATTGTTTCTTAATATTTTTATCTTTTAGATAGCAAAAATATATTTCAATATACCTCAGAGAAAAGGATATCTCCCCCAAACATGAACTCTCAAGTGCTACACTTGTCACTGCCTTCATCCAAAAGCATGCACAGCTTTTTCAGTGCCTTCTGCACGGAAGAGAATATTGAGCAGAGTATATCCTATCTCAATAGGGTAAGCCACATCTTGCTTACTGGAGGCTTTTTGAAAATGTCTGTATGTCAGTTTTGGTAATGAAGATGCACTGTATTTGGAAGGCTTCTTTCTTAATGCTCAGAAGCTGAAGTTGGTTCGCAGGAGAACACATTTTTTTGCCTTCTTATATAGGATTTCAACTGATACTGTTTATCTCAAAGATTTATCCAGTTATTTATTCCACCACCCTCTCCAATTTGTCTTTCACCAGGAATTGACAACACTGGGCTTTCCTTCTATTTATGCAGAGTCCAAAGGAAAGGAATTAAACTTAATATCTATCATAAATTGCATGAATGAATTGCTTGTACTGCAGCATAAGAACCTTCGAGCTCAGGAAGAAGTAGAAATGCAGCATCTGAAACTGGGTAGTGATATGGATCACTTACAGAACTGCTATGCTAAATTAAAGGTAGGAAACAAGATGGTTTCACCTGTGTGTGTGTGTATAATGCAGTGTTTGTGTTAACAGATACTGTACTTGTCAGTGAATAATTTGTTTTTGCCTCCCTAGTACTAATTTGCAATTGTACTTTTATGAATATTTTTGTTTTTTGAATTTTTTCATTTGAAAATTCCTTAATGAGGTGTGAACTCATAAGACAACTTTAATTCTCGCTTAGAAGTTTTCTTTAATGATTTTTTTAATAAAAGAAAACAAATGTTGACCAGTTCAGCTCATTCAGTTTGCCTGAAAGAATATGCCCAGCTCTAGAAGATAAATTCACAATGTAACCGTAATCAGTAAAAACAAAGACCCCATGTGGTAACTTTTCTAGTATGCATTGTCACTCTTCTCCTTATGTCTTTCGCATTTCTTTTTGTCATTAGATTTCTTGGGTAACTGCCCACCAAGCCTTTTTATAAAGATTGCTCTGAAGCTATTGGCAAAACTTAGGTTAAGCTTTGTTTTATGTAAATTGTCCCATTTGCTTTGTTGTGGACACAGCATGCATATCTACGTACATTATTCTATTGTTTATTTAATAGAAATACTCCACTAAAATCATTCCCAACCCATACATGTTACTTACTATATCCTCTTACTCCTGAGTTATAGATACTTACAGAATCCTGATTTATTAAAAAGCAATAACTGTATCTTTGTTTTTTATGAGTGGGAGTATTTCTTGTACTGGAGAATCTTAGTGCTTGGACCAGAAAATAGAACTTGTTGAGAATGCAAGGTGAAACATTAGCAGTCGAATATGCAGAAAGGCTTGTCTCAAGTGAGGTGATTTAGCCTTTTTTTTTTTTTTTTTTTCCAATATTTTTTATCCTTAGCTATTTTTTTTATTGGTACTGAAATGTGAACGTTTTTTCTAGGAGCAGTTGGAGTTATCCAAAAGGGAAATAGTTGGCCTTCAGGAAAGAGACAGACAACTGCAAAGCAAGAACAGGAATCTGCACCAGTTACTTAAAAACGAAAAGGATGAAGTGAGTTATGTACATCAATGCAAATTATTACATAGATTTTCAGTGCTGATTTTGCAAGGTGTCTGGTAGATGTTCACACTGAATGTTTTTTGTTTTTTTGCTGTTGTGTGCTATCTCAGCAAAGTGAAACTGACTCCTTGCACGCCAATTGAATACGTTTTATAATGGATAGGTCCAACTTATGATTCTATTAGAGTGTACTACAGAAACATGTACAATTTTATGCTTTGTTATGCTTTCGATTATACATTATTTTATGTTTTATAAATGTATAGAAGTGAGAGGGAGCTGTAGGATTCAGTCACTTTCTCAAATGCACAGGAATGGGAACACTTTTTCTTTGTTACACTGTGGAAGTGCACAAAAGGTGGGGGGTGGGGAATAGTCCATGCTCATTAAACTTGGGAGTCTTGGAAGAACCCAGAGCAGAAAACGCTATCATTAGTTTGGTGTCTGTTTCCATGTGGTCTCCGCCACACTGTACCTACATACTCCTAAATTTCTTTAAATGCTCTCTTCGTTCATAAATATTCAGCAGGCAATCAAGCATTATCTGTATGTAATGAACTTCAAAAGTTCCAGCTTAAAACCTGGGGCGTGTTAAGCTAGCTGTATGTTGGCAAAGTTAAAACTGAGTCAAAATCCTTCCAGCCTATTTGTGATCTGTTTTAATGTTCTTTTGGACTGAATAGTATCACCCTCTTTTCCCATCCCGTTGTCCAGAAGGAGCAAAGAGTTTGTTATTTTTTTTATGTAAACATAAATAAGCCTAATTTAATGTTAAATTAGGTACTAAACGTTATCTACTGAAACCAAAACATATCTTTCTTTTTGTAATGAGGATATTGGAGAAGATATCACACGAATTGCCAAAAAGTGTACTCAGTTCTTCTTAAGAAGGACTATGACATTATAATATGTTCCTTACTGTGTTAGTTTGTGCATAAAAAGCAACTCAGTTTCCTAAGCTAAGTCTTAAGTCAGAATCTGTAGGCTGTTGTCAGTTCCTTTATCCAGAAAGAGTTTAATGTAAGCACCATTTCACATCTGTTTGTTTCTTTTTTTTTTTTTAAGAAATGTGTTTATGTTAAGCTTTAGTTGACTAAATCTGCTCTCTTGTGGGATTGTTTTTAGGTTCAGAAGTTACAAAACATAATTTCAAGTAGAGCTACGCAGTATAATCATGATATGAAGAGGAAAGAGAGAGAATACAATAAATTAAAGGAACGCTTACATCAATTGGTCATGAACAAAAAGGACAAAAAAATAGGTAAGTAGAGTGCTATGGCAAATAAGTAAATTTTGTATGATGTTATGTTCATATCCCTTTTCCTCAGTGCTGAAGTACCCAGTGGAACATTAAATATATTGTGAAATTTTTGTTAGATGAGATGTGTTGACTGATGTCATTGGAAAGGAAGTCCTACTCTAATTTTTTTATCCCTCCTGCCACCCTTCAAAACACTCTCAGCTGTTTGCCATCTATAGCATGTCATATTTTAGTGAGCTGGTTAATTTGCTGAGCCAGAAGACAACTATTCATGTTGTGGCTGAGTTGGTTTTGCTTTTCTGAAACCAATAAGTAAAGTTGCAAGTAAAACAGACCACACTGGGACGCTGTATCAGGAACACCTATTTTGGCAACAGAAGGTAATTTAGTATCTGCACAGTAATCTCTGGAAGCCTCACACGTAAGTGAACAAAACTTTTTACGTGTTTTTTACTCAAATTAGTTAATACTAATTGAAACATCAGTGAGGTCAAAATAACGAGATCTTAAGTCTATTTCCTGTTTCCTTGAGAGCTAATGAGAATTGAGCTTGAACTACTGTTCTGACGTCGTATTTAAAATAATGTATACACAATTTACATAAAAGCTGGAACAGAGGGTGAGGGTATTCTTAAGAAGTGTATAAAATTTGTAAGATAGAATAACATCCCCACCCTGGCTTTCCAAACACAATTTTTTTCTATCCTTGTTTATTTTACTCTTGCTTTGTTAAGCAGAGCAGCATGGTCTCATTTTGGTCTTCAGACTGAGGGGGATACTTGGGTGATGCAGTCTTTTTGACAGTAATTACATCAAAAGGTAAAAGAAGTGTCATCTGAATATGTGTGTAATTGCACGTTGTTTCATGCTTTGAAATCTCCTTTTCATTTGTAGCTATGGAAGTTCTAAATTATGTTGGTAGAGCTGATGGGAAGAGAGGTGCATGGAGGACTGATAAGACGGAAGCCAGGTGAAATTGTAGTTGTTTTAGAACAGCATTAATTGAAAGTATTTGTTACGTTGTCACCTTGTTACTGTCACATTTCTGCTTCCAGAAATGAAGAGCAAATGTACAAAGTTCTGCTAAATGACTATGAGCAACGCCAAAAACAACTTTTATTGGAAAATGCTGAGCTGAAAAAAGTTCTTCAGCAAATGAAGAAAGAGATTATTTCACTTCTTCCACCACAGAAACAAAAACCTAAAGAAAGGTCTGAAGATGGGCCAGTAAGTATTCCTCTGTTAAGCTTAAGTCTTTGATAGTTTGCAATGCTGGAGCCATCTGATTATTAAAATACTTCTTGGAAGGCTTGCAATGGAAGGACCTGGAAAAATCTTTTCAGTATATAAGGGTTTTACTTTTCTTTGGTAAAACAAATCTATATGCGTATTTAAATATATATTTTTTGAAAGGTAAGATGGCTTGCAGCAGGCTTTGTTTCTATTTCTGCAGGTACTTTCAGACTTGGAGGAGGACACTGGAGAGTTAAATAAAGAGAATATGTGGGAACTGTCATGTGAAACTGTGCGAGAGCAGCTTACCAACAGCATTAGAAAACAATGGAGAATGTTGAAAAATCATGTTGAAAAGCTGGATAACCAAGGTGATGTTTAACTCTTACACGTACACATAAAGTGCTGCAGATAATTCCATGTGGTGTCATGCTCTTTGGACTTATGTTACTGTATGTCTAATCTAAGTGGAAGCTGAAATGGAAAGGACTGTGACCTGGTAGACTTCCTGAAAAGACTTGTGTTTTTCCTTTTCTTTGTGAGTTTGAATTGTGGGAAGTTAGGAAAGCAGTCACCTTAGCAATCATCTTTTATCCTGAGAACAGACACACTGTAGTTTGTCAGAGTAAACAGCTTTCTTCAGAAAGAATTTACTTTTCTTTTGGAAGTACATGCTCTGTAATATGCAGATCACTCCAAAAGTAACGCTCTCTATTTATTTCCATGGGAACTATAACAGATACAAAGAGCACAATAGCACTATTTAATAGTGTAAATTCTGAACTACATAATGGCATTTTTTTCAACGTAGTCACCATCATTTGCTATGTGCTTTTGCCAGCAATGAACAAGAGCCTGTTGTCATGCTTACAAAAAACAACAAAAAAAATCTGCGTTAGTGGAGGTGACATGCTGTTATTGCTGCTGAAGCACACCACACACCACCTTGCTTTGCTCACATCCACTGTGTTTGGTCTCCGTGAACATTCAGCAAGCTTTTAATTTTCTGCATGGAGGAATTCAGTGACACACCTTTGCTTCGTATGCATTTCCATGTCAGATACCATTACTGCCTTTCCACTGCCATCTGTTACATGGCAACAAAATGTAATTGAATGCTGGTGGGAAAGTTCAGCTCTACTGCCATACCACCATTGTCTGCCTCTGATGTCTTAGGCCAACTTAAACAGGAAACATTATTTTCAGAGCATCCTTTGTAAATGTTGGTTGTATTTGCCCGTTTGTCTGAGCTGTTCAAGTAATTGCAGATATTCAGTTTCTTTCAAATTGTGATATGTGATACATAGATCCTTCTTAGAGTTTGAGCTTGTCACAGCCATATCTACTGCTTCTGCTGGCATTCTAAAATGAACTAGCTGATGGTATGGTGCTGGGCTCTCCTCGTTTCCAGCTGTTAAACAGCATTAAAAGACAGCTAAAAATATATAAAATTCTTTCCTAGTATTATTTTCCAATGTAAGCAAATGCTGCTGCTACAACAAGGATGTTTGCAGTCAGGAATAAGAGTGAGAAGGTCATGAATGTAGTTGCAAATAAAAGAGCAGGTGGTCTCTGGTATAGACATATTCTTATAGAAAGGATTTTAAGATCACTTATTCTGAGTAGTACTTGACTCAGTATACTAACCAAAAAATAAAATAATTGTGAGCATCAGGAGAAAAGATTCAAGTATTTGCAGTTTTCTTGGAGTCACTTTTTTTTTTTTTTCATTTTTGAATTTACAGAGACGACCATGTTCTTAGTGTTTAAATACTGTCATCAGGGGATCAAAACTTGGCACACTACAAATGCTGTGGTAGTTGTATCTTTGTACAACCACACTGTACCTCACACATTTTATTCCTCTGTGATTCATTCCCTTTCTGGGTTAAAAATGTGCACACAGTGTTCCAACTGTTAGCTCTGTTTCTCCTTCATAGAACATGAGGAAAAAATCTTTCCTTTTTTATCTATGATATATATAGTTACTGCCATACTCTTATGAACATACAGGCCCTTCAATAGTGGGCTCAGAATAGGCTAACGATGTACCGCTGAAAAGAAATCTTAATTTGTCTTGATTTTCTTTTAAAGAAATGCCGAACCAAGTTTTGGTGGCTTTTTTTTTTTTTTTTTTTTGGTTAGTTGTGTTTTTTTGTTTGTTTTTTTTTTTGGTGGTTTGATTTTTTTTTTTTTTTTTTTTTTTGTTGTTGTTGCAATGCTGTTGCATCGAGGACTTGTGCTTTACCTGAAGAAATGTAAAATCTGAGGCAACATTGTAACATTCAGCTCAGGAAAAACAACAGTAGTGCTTAATTATGTGTGTAGCACCAGTTCTGAATCGTTTGTCCTGATAATAGTAATTTTGAGTGCATGGTTAATGTGTCTTTTGGAATGAAACTATTACAGTTTGAAAATCTTTGCTATTGCTTTGAGTCCTAAGTGTTGCGAAGAATGATTTCTAAATAACTTTTTTCCCATTTTTTCCCCCTCCCTTAGTGTCACGTGTGCATTCAGGAGCTTTGAATGACAAAGATGTAATCTCAAGGGAAGACCATGAGCTGGAAACTGAAAAACTAGAGTTAGAAATTCAGCAATGTAAAGAAATGATCAAAACTCAGCAACAACTTTTACAGGTAGCAGGCTTTAAATTTTGTTATTTTCAAGACCTTTGAATTATTATTATTTTTAATGTCACTTATTGCTCACCTCTGAGTTTTTCTCCTTTTATTGACAGTGCTTTTTAAATAGGATGTCTTGGTGATTGGTCTAAGTGGGCTGTTCAGTTGATTAGTAATTTAATGAATTTGTAATCCTGGTAGGAGAAATTCTGGGAGAAGTTAATAGACAGGAAGGCTGATGAGGCCAGAGGTGTTTTGCTAGCTGCTTGAAACTCTGCCCCTACCAACTGTGTTGCTCATTTATCAAACTTCAACTGTTTTTTGATGTAACTTAAATCTGTGGAAATTCTAAACAACTTAATAGTCACTCCAAGATTATTGTTTCTGTATTTATATCTACAGCAACAGCTTATGTCTCCATGTGATGATGACACCACTCTGTTACTACAGGACTGCTATCTTCTGGAAGAAAGAGAGCGTCTTCAGGAAGAATGGAGACTATTTCAAGAACAAAAAAAGAATTTTGAGAAGGAACGAAAAAGTTTTACAGAAGCTGCTATTAGATTAGGACTAGAGGTATTAGAAAAGTGGAAAGGTATTAGAAAAGGAACTCCTATGGAAGAGAGTATAATAATAACTCTAATACACACTAAAAACTGCCTGATACATATTGTCTGCTTATATCTCTATACAGAGAGCTTGTTCTCGTACTGTGTAAAACCGCTCTGGTCACTGCAGCAGATCATTCAGCTTAAAACAAACAAAACAAACATCACATTATGTGTATTGGAATATGAGTTTGCTGCAACTAGGTGAATCATTTTTCTTGCAGCTTTGGAAATATCTAGGTACTTCTGAAAGATCTGTTTGCTTATTCATTAAATCCTTGATTAGAGGCTGTTTCAATTTAGCTTTCTAAGACAGCAAGGCTTATGCAAATCACTGTCAGATTTGGCTGCAGCATTGAATTCTCAGAGTCTAGATTTTCATGGAAAGCAGTTTTGCAGAAAGCCAAAATATATCTTTGCCTTAGTAGGGCCATTTTGTGTTCTTGTAGTTAATCTGGCTAGTAAACAGACTTAGGGAGGGAATTGGGTTGGGTATTTCTCTAAATGTGCTCTAGCACATATCTTTTTGTTGGCCAATAGTTAGAATCAAAACATGAAGACTACAAATTTAGCAGGGAGGAACGTGAAAGGTCAAGAACATAGAATATTTTGAGTTTTATTGAGGCACTGGTACAACAGTAGTTCACACAGTGACAAATATTGACTCAGGCCATTACATATATAATCATGCATTCTTCAACTTTTTCATTTTCTTTTACTTACATTTTATTGAATTCTTTAATTTAACGTGATCTTGAATTAAGCTTTGTAATTTTTGATGGGTAATAAATGTTTGTTCTGAAATACTTAAGACCATATTACAACATAAATGTAGTTACCTGTGCTTTTGAATATTAAAATACTTAAATTTGAAATAAGTAAAGAGAAAGTTGAAGCAATACTGCAAGCCTTCATCATAGAGTGATTGGAAAAGGAAACATCACCTTTCTTTCTGCTCAGTTGTTTTCATGGAAGTGATCAGTGCTATTTTCAATGTCACTTGTATTTGTTTATGAGAAAGCTGAGGACTAAGATTGAAGCAGTAATCCTTATTAGCAACTGCCTAGAAATTAGAGGTATCTCCATGAGTTAGTGCAAGACTTGGGGGGTAAGGGGGAGCACAGGAGACAGTGGTAGGACACTGTGCCTCTGGAGTGGAGAACAGTGAAATGAAAGGATTATTCAGACCTCTGAAACAAACCACGGGGTTTGGCTTGTAAATAAATACTTCCTCAGCTAATCCTTGCTGGAATCAAAAGCTTGCTTATATGACTGTAACTCTTTGTTTAACTGTTGGCTCACCTTAGTTGCGTGGATATTCCATAACTTTTTATTTTTTTTATATGGAATAACCTAAATTTAATGTGGACTAAGCTTGTTTGTGTGGTCGTAACTGTAAACAGTCATTTCTTTTCCTAGAGAAAAGCATTTGAAGAAGATAGAGGAGCATGGTTGAAGCAACAGTTCTTAAGTATGTCTACCGATTACAAGCACTCTGAAAATGTGACAACTCCAAGTGCCTTCATAGGAAGCAAGTATTTGGTTCAAATTATGTTACTATAACATGCTTTTTCCTTCTTTTACCTGTAAGATGGTTAGGATATAATTCATTCCCATAGTAGAAAAAATTTGTATTTTTAGGAACAGATCTTTTGCCTTGTTGCCCATGAAGAATGAGTTGATTCTAATGATCTTGAGCAACTTGTGAGATTTAGGCTGTATACTAAAGCTACTGATTTATACTTATCTTTTTTCAAATTCTGGTGTTTCTGGCTATATTTATTATTATTACAGTCATGCTGTAAGTTGGGAGGAAAGGTCTGTTGTTGTTGTTGTTGTTTGTTTGTCCTTTCTTTTTTGATAGAAGACTTAAATCTAATCCTTCAAATATTTTCAACTTGAGTGTCATCTAACTGATTTATGTGTGCCTTCCAGCTTCTGACCAAGACAATCGGCTAGTGAACTCAATGTCTCAGCAAAGAAAGCCTCACTGTATGGTGAGTGGTCCTGTTTCAGCTGAATCCTGCCAGACTTCCCAGTGTATTTCACATAACAGGTATCTCAAATGATGTTGTGGATGGTTTTTGTGTGTGTGTGTGTTTGTTTGTTTGTTTTTCATGGTGCTGAACTCTATTTAGAGCAGTGACGAAATTGTGGTAACTTACAGAATGATCTTACCTAGGTCTTGTGTTTGATATGTAGAAGAATATGTTAAGCATCATATCATAACTGTATTGTGCTTCTCTCTGAAGTGTAATTTGTAACTGAATGTGCAGTTATTTACACTGTAACTTCATCTTTTTACCAGTTTCAATGCTGCATTAAAAAAACCTGCTGGTGACAGCGAGCCAAATCAGTGGGAGGAAAGTGAGAAGGAAGAAACTGAGTAATGCACAGTCCCAGGAAGACTCTGAAGCTGGCACTCTGCTATGTAGAAACTTGCACATAGAACAACTGCCTTAGACTTTCTAGGGTTGCCTGCTGTTTTGTTAGAGATGTTCATAAACTTACTGTTCTGAAGTGTAACAGGATGCTGTGAGTTTGATCATTCTTCTGAAGGGTTATGTGGTAGGCTGAGCTGTGATGTGTATGTATGTGTGTGCACATGGCTTTTAATTTTTTTAGACCATTTCTTGCCTCTTTTTTTCTTGCAGCTCTTGAAAGATGCTTATTTAAAAGTATATTAAAGCTTTGGTATTTTTCTAGTAACAGAAGCTGTGATTCTGTGAATGAAGCTATGGTCTGAAACTTTGGCTGTAATGAAATATTGGATCTTAATGTTTTTTTTTCATCACAGACAGAGATAGCACTTTTAGGAATGGTTTAATTATTGGAAACACTCATTATGAGAAACATCTCAAGCATAACTGGCATTAAAACTTCTTTTGCCTCAACTTGAATGTACAGTATACTGTAGATTTTTAACAAAACAAGTTCTATATTTATTAATTTGTGTGATTTGAAAATACCTCTTTGATATTTCAGATGACCTAAAGCGCGAAATCTTTATATATTTGTAAATAGACAAAATGATTATGCTGAGAAACCATGGAATGAAATGCATACATCCATAGTATTATTTTACGTGGTATTTTAAATTGTTTTATAGTGATACTCTGTTTACAGATGCATTAGGACTTTCAATGGTTCATCCAGGAATAAAATTATTTCAAATGTAAAAAATAAGCGTGTATGTCTGTTTTAAGAAACTGGTTCTGTGATTTATGAATGCAAATTTTTCTAAACTCTCATGGTAGTAGGGCCAAGGTTCACTGTGTGTTTGATGCTAGTTTTGTTTTGCTTATTTTTCATTTTAGTGGGCTCCAGAATTTTGGTGTAGCTTTAGGGAAACCTGTTTTGTTTATAACCTTCTAAAAACAGCCGTGTACAGATGAGATGTCTCCTTCCCTAGTCAATTCATGTACTTCTCCTTGTCCAGTACGTGTCCATCTCTTCTGTTTTGGTTGCTCAAGCATTTGTTAATGTGTGAGTATAGCTCTGGCCCTAGTCACATTAAGCTTTTGGAATGTGCCTAAGAAACTTCTGCACTTCTTCAGGTCAGTGGAAGGAAATTAACTCTGAAACCTAGAATACTTCACTGATATTGTGTTGCTGCTCTGCTCTTAATCCACAACTGGATGTAATAGATTGAGCGGGATACTGGAAAAAATAGCAGTAGAATAACAAGAAAGGGAAACTGGAATTCTCCAAGGAGCTATGGTAGGAAGTTTTGGAGTTTTTGCTGATTAGCTCAGTGTGTTGAGCTTGATTTGAAATAGTAGTCAGTGCAAACTGCAGGGACTTCTTGCTGTGCAAGAACTACTCCGCATCCATAAAGAAGCAGAACTGTATATCCTGATCTTGTTGGTTAGCACTTCTTCTGCATAGGCAACCAGATACGGAAAACAACACAAATATCGTCCCATCGTATTTATTTTTAAAAAGGCTATTTTAAAATGTATTTCTCCAGTTCTCTGTCATTAAATAAGTGATCGTTACTCGTAAGTTCTGCTGAGCTCACGCCTTCCGCGCAGTACTGGACAGAACTTGCATAAGTATTAGTCATGAAAGAATAAAAACCTGTGTCTAAAATTAGACATTAGCTGAAAAATTTAAAATACATATTGATAACAGCATGAAGCTGTGTAAAGGCAGGTACAGGCTGAGTATGAGGAGAAGGTGCCTCACCAGAAAGGAAGTTGGGTGCTGGAACAGGCTTCCCGGGGCACTGGTCATAACATCAACTGGATGTTGGAGTTCAAGTAGTATTTGAACAGTGCTCTCTGACAACAGTATGAGTTAGGCTCAATCCTTGTGAATCTCTTCCAACTCATGATTTTCTACGATTTGAAGTGAGAGAACAGTAATTTACTTGCAAGATTCTTATTTTGAAACCAGTTTACTCAAGATCTGTAAATCTGTAGTTGACACATGCCACTGTGAGTTGAGGATGCCACTAGGGGCTGCTGCTGTCCTGAGGTTATTGCTCTCTAATGTTTTCTGGAGGCACTTAAACATGTTCTTGCTGCATGCTTGGACTATTTTACAAAGCAATTTTTCTCAATGATCACTTTTAGGATAATAATTTTGAAGAGCAAAATAATATATTAACTTATTTAATCTGTTGTGCCTATTGAATGATTAGGAAACTCGTTATATTGTACTAACTTTTTTTTTTTCTCTCTGTGACTCATATCGTAGAAGTGGAAATTTAATTGAATGTATGTATGGTAGAATCAAACTGTGCTAGAAGTATGTATGCAGTTGAGTCCTGAGCTATCCTCATGGGCCTGGGTTCAGGGTCAGTTCCTTCTCTGTAAAGAAGGAGAGCACTGCCTAGAGTTTTTGGATTACTCTGTGCAGTGATGAGGAAGCTTCTAAGTGTGCAGCTGCTGCTGATAATGGTGTGAGTGTTGCAGATCACCTGGATGGTATTGTGGTAACGTTGTTTCCACCATGGTGAAGCATTAGAACTCCTGGAGCCTACTTAATCAGAGACTGTTGAGGAGCAGAGGGGGAGACTGCTCCCGTGAATGCTGTGCAGGTGTGTCACTACACAGAGGTGTCTATCTGAGACAACGGGGCAAGTGGCCTACTTAAGAGAGAGTGCTAGTGAAGATGACATGTACAGTACACCTGTGGGTGATATTGAAAAGATGAATGGTTCTCTTACAATCTCTGTTTTATTTCACAACGTCGTTAAATATAACATGCTTTGTGTGCTGTTATCTAGGCTTCTTTTTCAATCTACATAATGGGAATGTGTTTCTACCATAAATTCAAGCTTAATTGGGTAGAAGTTATTTTCCAGGTTTAGTTTACTTTTGTTAAGCCTTTCATTTATTTTCTTTCTTTGAGAATGATACAAAATAGCTTTTGCAGACTGCACAGGAAAAAAAAAAATAAAAAAAATAAATGAAAGCTTTGCTTATGAATTTTTTCCCCTCCAAAACAGCCCCCTTCCGCGTTTGAAGTACTGCTTCTAGTAGCTGCTGCAGGTTTGCTCTGTGTAGATGCAGCAGGACGAATACATTCCTACATGTGTGAAAAAACGCAGACCATATTCTTGTTCTTCTCAGAGGTTATGGTGTATATATACTTTAACTGGGCCAAGGAAACTACTTAATAAATCTCCAAATAATGCCAATGTAAACAGGTTATTTTTGAATGGAAGATATGTCCGGGATTCCAGGACAAGGAGAATGCTGTGTGCATTGAATTCTACTACTTGTGTGAACTTGTTTTTTCTTTCTTTAATTTGGAGTTACCATGAAGCTTTTGTGGGTGGAGACATGCTTACTTCTTTACCATCACTCCCACCAATTTAATCTGGGAGGGAAGTAAGTGACAAAGAATGAAAGGAAGTTGTAGTGGATCCAAAAACTGATCCTTGAAAGAAGCATTCAAATTGTTTGAGTTTACTTATTATCTGTTGCAATATGTCTGATCTCTTGTGTTCGCTGTTCCTATCAAATCTGCAGTTTAGTTAAAGCATGAGTCCACGATGTATGCTATGTTTTACTTTTCACATTGGTATTGTACTCATATCCCTTTATTCAAGTTTTTGTTAGTAGCTTTGGATTTCTTTTATTTGTGCAAGGCTTACAACTTAATACAACATATAACTTTGTTATAAAGAAAGGGTCAACTATAAAAAATAAAATCAGTTACAAATATAGAGAAGGGCTGGCCATGCACTGTTGTGAACAGTTTACCAACTGAGGCACAAATTACACTTGACTGCTTAGGCATAAATTGACTGTGAATCCCTGCTACAACAGTGTAGTCTTCTGATGTGAATTCTGTAGCAGTTCCCAAAACAGAGGTAGGAGAACTCCAAGTGGAATTGAAGTCCAGATGAAATCCAGTTGAAAAAGTCAACAGCTGTGGGACTGACAATCCAGAAAGAGCAGTTACTAGCAACTACTGAAATAGAAAATGTACTGCGTTGTCATAAAAACACTTTGCCGCAGTATGCTCTGCTGTGGTAAGTCCTATTGTGGGAACAGAAAGTAACCAAAGAACGAGTATGTCATAGATTTTGAATTAGAATATAACTGAGTGTTTTCATGTGATTTGAAGATCACAATTTATTGAACTGCTGGAAGCTGCGCCTCCAAAAACATCCTCCAGTGCAGAAGATCGTGTGCCCTTGTTCTTGTTGATTTAACTGCCACCCAGCTTGCTTTGGAGGACTAACTTTTTTGTAGGGTTGACAAGAACCCATTGATTCTCTAAATTCATTCTTTATCTCCCATTTCTGAGGGTACATGATGAGCTGTTCTCATGCTCCTGACATTTCTAGAATAGAATCACAGAATGGCCTGGATTGGAAGGGATCTCAAGGATCATGAATCTCCAACCTCCCTGCCACAGGCAGGGCCACCAACCTCCCCATTTAATACCAGACCAGGCTGCCCAGGGCCCCAGGCTGCTCTGGGCGATTTTGTGAACTGAACAGACAATTTTGTGAATGTGTTCTTGTGTTATCAATACAAATCACCGTTAGTGATGAAGTTGGCTGCAAGCCTGCATCAATTCAGGTACTTGGCTGCATTTTGTATTTAGTTCTGTAGTGAATGCGAAAGTTCTAGCTGACCTGCACTTCTGTCCCTCTTGCCTTGCTGCTGAGAATCTCTGCAGATTTTAATTGTTCACATTTTGCTGCTATTTACTTTGGAAGATAAAATATTTACAGAATGATTATGAAACTTTTGTTCATTTAAAAATATTCCTGGTCAGTATGACCGGAGCTGAAAAGGACACATTGATCCTGTGACTTCAATAAATACACAGATTCCGTATATTGTTTCTCAGTAGACTATTAAATCATGTGTGTCGGTGCACATATGAATACATAAATAGCAAAGGTTTATCTAGCTTAGTCTCTGGCCTACAAAAATGGCCATAAACCAAAGCTGAGGGAAGAGGGAGAGCACAGTCAATGTAGGTGACACTGACTGCTAATTGGGTTATTATCAGCTAGATAACAACTTGGGTCAGATGCCAGGTCAGCATAACCTGGGCGAAACCAATCTCATCTGTGGCAGGACCATGTACCAGCAGCCAGCCATGACCCAATCTAGGAAAGCAAGTAACACATCTATTTTAAATTTATTGTAAATGCTGAAGCAAGAGTGTTTTATGGTGAAACATTGAAACTTCTGCTCAATCAGACAAAGGTTTTTTATCAGAGATGCCAAAGTAGTACTTGATTTTCTTTACTCCCTGTGAAGAGAAGTTATGATTGCAGAAAGTGTTTACATAAACTGATAAAAAACTTGAGAATTCAGCAGAAAACAGCCACGTGTTCCTGAACATTCTTCCATAAAAGTCTCGCCATGCCTGGCAGAGCCCTATTCACCTTCGCTATGAGGGGGATCATACTAGCACTAGTGCTCACCCTTGTGGGTAAGCTTATGCATCCCTTCTTCATTCTTCTTCCCTGGTATTTCCTTGAGTTCACTGACAACAACTGGGTTTAGACCAGATATAACTCATGTGGTTTTTCTATCTCTTTTTGTAGGCAGCCAGAAGTTAGACATTGGTAAGTACATTTTTACCTATCAATTTGGTGACTTTGTTATATGTCTATTCGTTAGAATATGCTTACAGCTTTTGTATAAATGGCTGTTATTCCCCACAGACCCAGGATTCAGTAGCAGGAAGAGTTACCTGTACAGCTATGAAGGCTTTATGTTGAATGGGCTTCAAGAAAGAAGTTTGGGCAAAGCTGGTGTGCGCTTGAGCAGCAAGCTAGAGATCAGCGGGCTATCAGAGAATGCTTACCTCCTCAAGGTACTGACCACATCCTGTTCCAAACATACCAACCAGTACTGAATCTAAGTCATGTTCATTTACTTGTGTTTCGCTCACCTGTGTTCTAAGAAGGCCTATGGGAACAGAATTGGTAACTTAGCACTGTAGGTTTCAGGAAGGTTTGCAAACTGAAGTTTCAAAATTGAGGAGTGATTTACCATCCAATTGCTTACATGTGCTTGTTGTGAAAATTATTTGTAACAAGGGCTTCATATATGCAAAGTAGAGGTGTCAGTACCTGGGGTTCTGTTACAAAATGTTTATTTCTAACTTAAGGCACTTAAGCTTCCTCTGATTTTAAGATTTTATTCAATTTTCAACAAATTTTTCCAAGTCCTGTGGGGAGAAAGGACTTGGGTATGTAAAATGCAGCTACACAGATGTAAGGTCATGCAGGTAATTAATGAGCATAGATTGAGTTTACACACTTGGGAAAAAATGTGGAAGGCATCAAAAAGGACATCTCTCAGGGGTTTTAGAAGAGCTGTAGAACTTCTGTCGTGAATGATGGTAAGATACTAAAATTATGAGTTAGGGATTGTACTTCTCACTGTTGTCTTCATCTTGAAATTGTTGTGTTAAGTGCCCCAAAGTGTGCTCTGTTAGACACACCTCAACTTGCAGTAACATCAACAGAGTCAGTAAAATTGCTTCTGATTTCCCCCGTATTTCTGTACATAGAAGTAAACAAGCAAACGAATGAAGAAGTGTTGGTTTAATCAATTCACAACAATGGATCAAATATGGTAGCTTGTTTAGTCAAAACAATAAACATTTTGAGAGGGGAAGAATTAAAATGAAATATTCTAAGAATATTTTGGGTGGAGTTAGAATTAGAATAATTTTACTTTTTAAATGTTAAATTTAGTCTAAAGCAGATCGTGGCACAGCTATTGTAGTTTAAGGCTGAAGTAAAATGGAGGGAATTTCATTTGATTTATTTGAAATGCTATTATATTATTTTCTGAATGATATTTTCCTCCATGTAGTTAACGTGACTAAACTGCTCACAATCTTTCCAAGAGTTAACAAGGACGTGTTAACTGCTTCTCTACCACAAAAGAGCAATATTGAGCCCCATGACTCGTACCGATTTTACAAAGTAAGCAACAGATAGAAGAATCAAAGAATCAACTCCTACGTGGATATCTAAGCCTAAATTTGGAAGGAAGGAGTAGACAACTAGTGATTAGGTCAATTTCTTCCAATCTGTTCACACTTTTAGTACCAACGTAATTTTATTCACATCAATATCTATTTTTAATTTCCTCTCAGGTCCGTTCTCCACAAGTGGAGGAATACAATGGGGTCTGGCCCAGGGATCCCTTCACTCGATCTTCCAAAATCACCCAAGCGGTCTCATCGTGTTTCACCCGGCCCTTCAAATTTGAATACAGCAGTGGACGGGTTGGAAGCATTTATGCCCCAGAAGACTGCCCAGATCTGTGTGTTAACATAGTGAGAGGAATACTGAACATGTTGCAGATAACCATTAAAAAATCACAGAACGTCTATGAATTACAAGAGGTTTGTGTTTCCCATTTCATTTCTAAAACAACTTTGCTGGAAGAATGCGTTCTAGGTGCTCTTCATTCATGTTTCTCTTTATCTGAATCTCCTTTCAAGCATACATATTGAAAAACTGTTGTTTTTCATTCACATAGAAAATACATGTGAACGTGTTGAAGGAATTACTTTTACTGGAATTCTTTAAAGACATTTTTTAAATTGCTTTGTTTAAAATGCAATGCCTTCATCAAAAAGGAGCCATTAGCTATGAACGTGTTTGTTATATAGCTTCTCTGCTGCAGCAACATGATCAATTTTATTTGTTCATTTTTTGTATTAATTAGTTGATTACTTTTTCTGAGTTCCTTGACTGAACTTAAAATATGTCTATTTCATGTGTTTGTGTTGTTTTTTAGTTGAGTAGGATTAATTGTGAGCAATGGGTAACAGCTTTCAAAACATAGTTCAGTGAATCCTTATCCAATTTGTCTTCAGCCAAAACATGGCTCAGTGTATCCTTACCCTCCTACTGATTCTTCAAAGATTGCTCTTCTTTGGGGAAATCCTGATACAATTCTCAGGTCTCTTTCCTTCTCCTGATCCTTTCAGGCTGGAATTGGAGGTGTTTGCCACACAAGGTACGTCATCCAGGAAGACAGAAAGAATAGCCGAGTATCTGTTACCAAAACTGTGGACTCGAATAATTGCCAGGAAAAGGTGCAAAAAAGTGTTGGGATGGCTTACATCTATCCCTGCCCCGTGGACATGATGGTATGTGAGACATGGGAAGACCTTCCTCACACCAAGCAGATGGAAAAGATGAGTAACATGAGCCATCTGCTCCATTCACTCTGTGGTCTCTCTGTGCTTCTCTAGAAGGAAAGGCTCACCAAAGGGACTGCTGCTTTCTCCTACAAGCTGAAGCAGTCAGACAGCGGCACGCTGATCACAGAGGTTGCATCTCAGCAGGTGTATCAGATCTCCCCATTCAGTGAGCCCACTGGGGTGGCTGTCATGGAAGCAAGGTAGGTGGGATGCAAGGCTGCTTCTCTAAGTGAGAATAATTGCAAGTTCTGTGGTCCCTTTCACCCCCGGTTGAAATGAGAAGAGACATAAGCCCAGCAGCAGTTGGGTAAAGCTGTAAGTACACATGCTTTACGACACCTTTTTATTCCTCTCTGTCCTTTGACAGACAGCAGCTCACCTTGCTGGAGGTGAGAAGTGAGCGGGGCAGTGCCCCAGACATCCCCATGCAGAGCTATGGCAGCCTTCGCTACCACTTCCCAGCTGTACTGCCACAGATGCCACTTCAGCTGATCAAGACAAAAAACCCTGAGCAACGGGTATGGAATTTTTAGGTTTTTGAATCACTTTCCTAATTGAAAATTAAGAGCGACCAAATATGATCAGAAATATCAAGGGGTTTAATTACACATCCCTTCTCTCTCTTGTGTTGTACAGATATTAGAAACACTGCAGCACATAGTCCTGAATAACCAACAAGATTTCCATGACGATGTTGCATACAGATTCTTAGAGCTGGTCCAGCTTTGCCGGATAGCAAGTGTTGACACTCTTGAGTCTGTCTGGAGACAAGTTTCAGATAAACCTCGTTACAGGTATTTCATTGTGTGACCTGCTAAGAAATTTTTCATTTCTGGAGACCTGAGAGCTAGACTTCTTTTTCTAATATGCTTGCAGGCGATGGCTCCTGAGTGCAGTTTCTGTGAGTGGCACCACCGAAGCATTAAAATTCCTGAAGACCAGAATTCGCAATGATGACCTCAACTACATTCAGACCCTTCTAACTGTTTCTTTGACTCTCCATTTGATGAAAGCTGATGAACACACACTTCCACTAGCAGCAGTGAGTAAATCCACATGAATCTTTCCAATTTGATAACAAAAAGAATGTTAATTGATGGCAACTTTTGATTGTAAAGTTCACTAGCGTGGGTTCTCCCATCACATATACCAATTTTGCACAAATGCTGATGCATGATTTTTTTTCTTATTTTGACATTTTTGAGAAGATAATACGTCTTCATTTTGCTATAGTGATAGAAGAGCCCTTCTCTCTTAACATAGAGAAATAGTACCATTTTAGTATGCTGGGCTAATGTGTCTTGCCTTCTACAGGCAAATCTTTCTTTGTTTGCATGGTGAATAGAATAGCATAATCTTTTATACTGAACAGGATTTTTTCCCATCTCTAGTCAGTATTCCTCTTCATAAGCAGGAAGCAAAATATATTAACTGACAGTGCTTTGTTAATGTAACTGAGACACACTCTGTTCTAAAGATGTTCTATTTATTGATTGATGTTCACCGTTAGTCCATAAACTAATATTTGTGTTTATTTATGTTGAAAGCAGTGCGGAACTAAGGTCCTAAGTGAAGCTTGCTAATGAAATGTCTATAAGCTGACTTAATTTGTTTTGATGCGAACAGCAATCATTCTGAAATTACTCCCCCTAGATAAGCTGTGATGATTTTCCTTCTCTGAAACCTATGCCAAGCATTGTCTTAAATGCTCATTTTAATTTTATTTATTTATTTTCCTTTTCTTTTTTTCTCCCCACAGGATTTAATGACCAGCTCTCGAATTCAGAAAAATCCTATGCTTCAGCAAGTGGCCTGCTTGGGATATAGTTCTGTAGTCAACAGATACTGTTCTCAGACCTCAGCATGTCCTAAAGAAGCTCTTCAGGTGGGTTGTTCCCAATAGCTTGTTAATGTACACTACTTTGGCTTAACTCTTTTTGGAGCTGGTATGAAAATGTCAACTGGACATTTTTTTATTAACTATCAATCAATTAGACAAATACACATTTCATTGGCCTCCGTCAGAACAAAGGCAATAAATCATTTTACTAAATTAGACAATAATTTCATCACTGAAAATGCAGCTTTCACATCTTTTTTTTTTTTTTCTTTTTTTTTCCCCTACCGTCATCACTGGGTGCTTTTATTAGAACCATTTACTTTATTGTGATATGCTTTTTACTGGGTATGGGGAATGCTATGGACAATGTATATATATACACATTAGGTGGAAAAGGTTGAACTGTGCTTTGTTGTCCATAGCCCATCCATGACCTTGCAGATGAAGCAATCAGCAGGGGCCGTGAAGACAAAATGAAATTAGCTCTGAAGTGCATTGGCAACATGGGAGAACCAGCCAGCTTAAAGCGTATCCTGAAGTTCCTTCCAACGTCTTCATCCAGTGCTTCTGATATCCCAATCCACATTCAGATAGATGCCATCATGGCCTTGAGAAAGATAGCTTGGAAGGATCCCAAAACAGTAAGTAGCATCTATCAGGAATTTCTTTACTTAAGGAACTGAAGAAAGAAAATGTATACTCTGAGGGTAATTAATTCAATAGCATCAAATCTATGGTTTCATTATATTTGCTTATTTTTAAGAACAACAGAATACAAGCGTACATTTCAGCTAATGTTTTCTGGTAATACATAATAAATATTGTGTTGTAGGAAATTTCCAGGATATAAACACTGTTTCTGAAGTCAACCGATATAACTAATTAAGTCTGATGTTTGTTATGTATGGTAGAAATTTAGCCACCTAGAAGTGGGTAATTTAATCTTCCTCAAGAATCAGGAGGAGAGAGAGAGACCTTCTGTTGACTTCTCAGGCAAAACACTGCCATAGGGCTGTTTCTGTCAGACCTTTCTCTGAAGTTGAGTGAGTCACAATTGACCTTCCATTAACTTGCATGGCCAGTGTAGGAAAGGCTTTGGCCTTTCAGATGGTATAGATAGCTAGAGGTGTTATATGATACAGACTCCAGTCAGACAGTCTTTGGTAATTCCCAACAACGTGTTTCCTCTCTTCAGGTGCAGGGCTATCTCATTCAGATCCTTGCAGACCAATCGCTTCCCCCTGAGGTGCGAATGATGGCTTGTGCTGTTATCTTTGAGACAAGGCCTGCCCTTGCTTTGATCACGACGATAGCTAACGTGGCAATGAAGGAAAGCAATTTGCAAGTGGCCAGTTTTGTATATTCCCACATGAAGTCTTTGTCAAAGAGCAGATTGCCATTTATGTACAACATGTAAGTAGAGACAAGGATAAAGTGCGCTGTTTTCTGCATATGCCGTCAAACTGAATTCATTTTCTTATTCTGATAGAGTGTAGCTTCTTTCTGGATATATTACCTTTCTTTGTTTAGATCTTCAGCTTGCAACATTGCCCTTAAGCTGCTAGCTCCCAAACTGGACAGGCTGAGCTATCGGTACAGCAAGGTCATTCGAGCAGGCAGTTACTTTGGTGAGTAAAGCATTTCAGTGACTTCAGAAATCCCTTCGTAAGGGTTCCCAAGTCCTTTGGAGGAATGCAAATTGTCAGTGCCTGTGTGGTTTGTGTCTAGAAAAGTTTTCCCCCTTAGAACTGCTGCTCTCTGCAAAAAGAGATTCTGTAAGATGCTTGCTAAGATTGGTTTCCGAAATGTTTAGTTCATTTCTTATTGAAAAATTAATCTATTTCTTCTTACAACTATGGTAGAAGCTTTCTCCTTTTGCTACAGAAATACATACTTAGCATACTTAAGGTCAGTTCAATGGTCTCTCTTGTTCTATTGTTTTCTGGTTTAATTTCCCTGCTGCTCCAGCCTCCTGTCATTCTGTAAAAGATTCTGCATTTGGATAAGAAATTGAACTAAGTGTGGCAGTTAAATATTTAAAAGAACAGGAATAAGTATTTATTAATTTGAGCCTGAACAATTAAAAGTTATGCAGTGATGTATCTTAGAGTCAGTAACTGAAAAAGCTGCAGAAACACAGTCTTGAATGATGAGTAAAATGGTTAGAAAAATGGTCTTTTGTTTGCTTCCACCCCAGATAACTATAGAGTTGGTGCTGCTGGAGAAATCTTTGTTATGAACAGTCCAGGAACTATGTTCCCATCAGCAATAATTTCCAAATTGATGGCAAATTCTGCAGGTTCAGTGGCTGATCTGATAGAGGTAAATATTTATTTAAATTAGTAATAAAGCAAATAGAACAATTTTCATATCAAAATTTGTCTCCTAAGTTTCCACTCTGTAAGTATGTTTCAGACTATTTCTTCTCACACTGTTTTTGTAGGTTGGCATCCGAGCGGAAGGCCTCACAGATGTCATAATGAAAAGAAACATCCCGTTTGCTGAATATCCCACATACAAGAAGATAAAGGAGCTTGGAAAAGCTGTAGGTGTTTTTAGTAGTATAATGCATGTGTTACATGAGGGGATATTTAGTGATGCTTATCGTGAAAGATAAGTTCATCTCAGAGGGTATATTACCCACCAGCAGTCAGTTTGAGTAGGTCTGCAGAAGAGGGATCTGCAGTGAGACTGCAGGAGATATTCCTCCTGTAATGTCTGTGATATCTTCTGCAAGTCTCGCTGCAGCCCCACTTCCTTCCCACCTCAGATATGACTGCAGAAGGAGCAGTGAGATGAGGGGAAAGTAGATGTCACAGTACAAACATCTCCCATGCCTGGCAGGTTTTCTCCTTCCTCCGTTTTCCCAGCATAGTTTATGAGAAGTTCTCCTCATCTCCAAGAGAAACTATGATTTGGTGCAGTGCTTTCAAACTGAGTTTAACAGCACAAATGGCCTTGCTCCTCTGTATTAAAGTTCTTTCACTCTAAATAAGTGAACAGTGGATAGGGAACATCACAGCGATAGGGAGGACGTCTAAACTTGCAACACTACACTGTTAACAGAATACCAAGGAAATATGAGGGGCAAAAGAAGGCTGGGTTGGTCAGTAATAGTTGTCATTGCCTTGCTAAACTGCCATTTGTAAAGCATTGCATTAAGGAACTTCACTTGTTTCCTGATCTGTTCCCTAGCTGCTGGGATGGAAAGAGCTGCCAACAGAAACCCCCTTGATATCAGCCTACTTGAAAATACTTGGACAAGAAGTGGCCTTCGTCAACATCAACAAGGAAGTCTTGCAACAAGCCATGAAGGTATCAGGGCCCCCTACTTCTCTTTGCAAGGCTTGACACCACTGTCCTTTCATTCCCTCACCCCTTGGACCTCTGTCCTCTGGCAGACTGTAGTGGAACCTGCTGATCGAAACACGGCAATGAAAAGAATCACCAGCCAGATCCGCAACGGCATCGCAGGGCAGTGGACGCAGCCAGTGTGGATGGGAGAGCTGCGATACGTGGTTCCCAGCTGCCTCGGCCTGCCGCTGGAGTACGGGTCCTACACCACTGCCCTGGCACGAGCTGCAGTCAGCGGTGGGTTGGGAAGCACGAGGGCTGCTGCGCTAGCAGGTGGGAGGGACAGGCTAAGAGAGGCTGGGGAAAGATGTAGGAAAACAACCAGCCTAACAAAAAGACGTGATTTTTGTAGCGTCTTAAAACACAGGAGGAGAGGTAGTGAAGGTATTGAAAAAGAAGCTGGACACACATGAAAGCGGTGAGAGTTGTCACTGTGCTGGGGGGTCAGGCTGCCGCTCCAGGGAAAGCGACAGGTTGGAGGGATGGCCTGGCAGGACGGTGCTGAATCGTGGCTAGGGACAACTAACCCCGTGCGTGCGCAGGCTGGCTATTGCCCAGGCGGCGGCAGCTTTGCGGAAAAGGGCCGGGGAGGACAAGCTGACGGTGAATCGGCAGCGTGCCCTTGTGGTAGTGGACGCCAACTGCATCCTTGGCTGCCAAAGTTGAAGCAGGGCGAGTTTCGAAAGGCTTTTTCTCCTTAGCACGTTTGAGGCTGCGCCAGAAGTTCTGTGCCCAGTTCTGGGTCCTCAGTGCAAAGGCCGGCAGCAGCACAGAAACGGTAAGAGGCCGAAGCACCTGAACACAGAGCAAGTTTTCTGTATATTTTTTTCTTTTTCAGATTTGAAAAAAAGACCTTTTATCTCAAATACCTTTCACCGTATGAAGAGAAAATATTACCTCTTCCTGAAAACTGCATCTTGCTGACACATTTTAAAATGCTGTTCTGTCTTTTGCAGTTGATGGAAAGATGACTCCACCTTTAACTGGAGATTTTAGACTTTCTCAGTTGCTTGAATCCACCATGCAGATTCAGTCTGACTTAAACCCCAGGTATGGCAGATTTCTTATGCCTTAATTATAGATGGAAGTTTTTTGTTTCTATTTTTTTTTTTTTAATATGACAGAGAACTCAACGTAAAAACGAACACCTTTCTTACATACAACCACATCACTGTATTTCACTCTATTTCAGTTTATACATGCATACAGTTGCAACGATGGGTGTCAACACAGAATACTTTCAACATGCTGTTGAAATTCAAGGCGAGGTCCAGACAAGAATGCCAATGAAGTTTGATGCCAAGATAGATGTGAAATTGAAAAATATTAAGATTGAAACAAACCCATGCCGTGAGGAAACTGAGATAGTGGTTGGAAGGTATGATGGCATTACTTCAGGATAATTTGTGTTGTGGAAATCTTAAGAAGTTCATGATTCACTGACATTTTATGGAGGTTTTTAGACAAGCAATGTGTAAATAACATTTAGAATAAAGGGCAAAGAAAAATAAGGGAGTCGAAAGTCAGAAGATGCCTCAAATATTTAGGAGCTTAATTTTTATTTTAATTTACTTATTATTTTACTAATTCTTATTTAAAAAAATATTTTTATTTCCAAATAAATGTCTCTCATTTTGGAAATTTATTTAAATTTACCCATGCTTTGAAAACTGACTGTGATGTTCCTCGTGACATCTTAATTGTTTTTAACAATATTTATACTAACAGTTGCATATAGAGTTCCCATGTTCAAGGAACATACTTCTGTCATAACACTTGACAGAGGCAGGACAATAATTTGTTTAATCCAAATACATGGGTTTACCACTTTCTATGTGTATTTTCACAGACATAAGGCTTTTGCTGTATCAAGGAACATAGGAGAACTAGGTGCTGAAAAGAGGACCTCAATTCTTCCGGGAGATGCTCCATTAAAAATTATGGAAGAACCTTTCCAAACATCACAGAGGGCTTCCGGGGAACATTTAACAATGGTAACCTATTCCTTTTTGCTTGCACAATTACACTTACCCCTCATGTGCTACCTGTACCTGCAGTTTTACTCTTGCCTATGATATGCTCCCAGTGGCATTCACATGCTCATCTCCACTACAGCAAGAGCCTGACAGCATGCCAAGGAAACAGTCCCATGGTTCTCAAGAAGATCTTCGCCATAGCACAGGAAAAAGAACGCATAAACGAGATGTTTGCCTCAAAATGCATCGTCTTGGCTGCCAGCTCTGCTTTTCCAGAAGGTCGAGAGATGCCAGTTTCATAAAGAATACATATTTGCACAGATTAATTGGAGAACATGAAGCTAAAATAGTTTTGATGCCAGGTACAATACTGAGCACAAGCCTTTTCTTATTAGGTTTGTTAGTGCCCCTTGAAGCGGTATAACTTTTTAATCTGTGCAATTTGTGTGCAGTTCCTACAGATGCTGATATTGACAAAATTCAGCTGGAGATTCAGGCAGGATCTAGAGCAGCTTCCAAAATAATTAATGAGGTAAACTCAGAGTCTGAGGAAGAGGATGAATCATCTCCATATGAGGACATTCAAGCTAAACTGAAGAGGATTCTAGGCATTGAAAATGTGTTCAAGGTAAGAGACTTGGAGCCTGCAAGCGGAGGATATTTTCCAGTAAATAAAGCCATAAAGGATTTGAAGGCTAGGGTGGAAAACTGGCATGGGAAATCCAGGATGGGGTTGCTTCGAAAGGTGCCAGTGCTGTTAGCCCATGTCACATCTGGACAGACTGACCTGAGAGGTGCGTCCAGCTGGGGCTGGTCCTCCTTGCTGGGGCAGATTTTGGAGAGGAAGAGTGAGCTTCCATGGTGGGGCAGGAAAGGCTGTGGTGAGCAGCTTGTCTGACACCCACAGATTTTTCACATTGTAAATACAGAAACAGATGTTTCTCCCCTCTTATAATTTCCTATGAATTATTTTGCAGGTTGCAAACAAAACACGGCACCCGAAAAGTCGGCCATCTAAGAAAGGAAATGCTATGCTAGCAGAGCTTGGGACAGAGCCCAATGCAAAAACTTCCTCCAGCTCATCTTCTGCCTCCTCAACTGCCACCTCTTCTTCCTCATCTTCTGCCTCCTCCCCTAATCGTAAAAAGCCTATGGATGAAGAGGAGAATGATCAAGTAAAGCAAGCTAGAAACAAAGATGCAAGCAGCAGCAGCAGCAGCAAGAGCAGTGACAGCAGTAGCAGCAGTAGCAGTAGCAGCAGCAGTAGCAGCAGCAAGAGCAGTGACAGCAGTAGCAGCAAGAGCAGCAGCAGCAGTAGCAGCAGCAAGAGCAGCAGCAGCAGCGGTAGCAGTAGTAGGAGCAGTAGGAGCAGTAGCAGCAGCAGCAAGACAAGGAGTCGCCATAGCCATCAATCAGGGCATCTAAGTGACAGCAGCAGCAGGTCAGTGAGTCACCACAGCCATGAGCATCACTCAGGACATCTGGAAGATCACAGCAGTAGCAGCAGCAGCAGCAGCAGCATGCATTCCAAAATATGGGTAACTAATATTTCTTAGTAAATTGAAAGATGCTGATAGTATTTGTGAATTGAATTCCTCATGGCAGCTGGCTTTGTATCAAGTTATTAATTGACACAGTAAATATTAGCAACATAAAGTTTTAACATCTATTCTGCAAACACAGCTGCAGTGTCAATAAGCTACAGCTCAGCTGTCCCTGAGAGCATCTCAAAAGTTTCTACAAGTTTGCTGAAACTATTGTTGTAGGCAGGGAAGCATGTTTCACCAATGTATTGCTTTCTGTCTATACAAATTGCTTGTTTATATCTTTATTTTACAGTAGGAACATTAATGCTTTATATAAACTATTTCAACCATTTTGACTACTGCATTATGTGCTTATAACTAAGTGTACAAAACTATGCATGAATGATAGTTACTAAAATTCTGACTTAGTTCCTAGTGCTCAGAATTGAATACAATTGCAGCATTTCTTTTCTTCCAAGGCTTTTCATCTCCTTGTTATTATTTTCAAAGGGGCGTCATGAGATTTATCAGTATCGCTTTAGATCAGCACACAGACAAGAGGTGAGTTTTTCATTCTTAGTTGAGTTTGGAATCTGTTACAAGCTAAATTAAAACCTTGAAGTCCACTTGTTGTCTTTGCTGAGGGAAACTGCAGTACTGATAACACCAAATCAGCTGTGGTAATTCTTCTGAGACTCATCTCAGTAATAAGCTCCATAGCAAAGGATATTCTGCAGCACTGCCTAGTGGAGTTTCTTCAAGTGTGATTTTAAATTTCCTTCATGGTCATGATGTGTTTTCTTCCTGCAGTTCCCCAAAAGAAAACTCCCAGGTGACAGAGTTACCAGCAGATACTCCTCTACCAGATCCAGCCATGACACATCCCGAGCTGCTTCCTGGGTTAGTTGCATCATTTCTAGGGACTTTTGACAGCTTGGAAGAGTGGCAGAGTGGCTGTGCATTTGCAGCAATTGTGCAGCTAGGGCAATGGGAACAGAAAAACACTAAATTGTCAAGTTTTGAATATCAGTCAAAAGTGAGACACACATTGTAGATCCCCTACATGCTTTTCATGGTTCAGTCATTTAATGGTGAGCATGGTGTAGTTCAGTAAATGGCACAAATTCTCAAATATAGTGATGAGATCCTTCTGTGCTTGCAGGGGCACACTCATGCTAAGGCCAAAGCATGAGAATATGTGCAGTATATACGCTGCTATATATTTGTAGTTTCGTTTTTTTTATTTGCTAGATCTTGCATTTAAAATGCTCCTTTGTAATGTTGTTCTTTGCAAACTCTGTCTCCCTTCTTCTTAGCCTAAGTTTCTGGGTGACATCAAAACCCCAGTGTTGGCTGCTTTTCTCCATGGCATTAGTAACAACAAGAAGACAGGAGGCCTCCAGCTTGTTGTATATGCTGATACCGACTCTGTCAGGCCGCGGATGCAGGTATTTGTGACAAACCTCACAGATTCAAGCAAGTGGAAGCTCTGTGCAGATGCTTCGGTCCTCAATGCTCACAAGGCAGTGGTAAGGCTCAAAAATTGTCGCATGCAACCGCATACATAGCAATAAAATAATGTTCCATGTTTTTAACAATGGACCACTTTTCGCTCCATTGTAGGCTTACCTGAAATGGGGCCGGAATTGCCGGGACTACAGGGTTTCTACTGAGCTGGTAACTGGACGGTTTGCTGGGCACCCTGCTGCACAAGTGAAGCTGGAGTGGCCCAAGGTTCCTTCGAGTGTCAGATCGATGGTTGAATGGTGAGGTTTTAACCTTTAGTGGCATTTGTTTATGACATTGGTCAAATGTGAAAAATCACTGTCCACCCATGAGGTTCTGGGAAATAAAGTACTAGCTATTTTTGAATTCTGTGAGCTGAGTATTGCCCTTGGATGCAAAACCTGAATGGGAGATATCACCATCCTGTGTACAGTAATGCCTTCTGCTGGTCATACTGAAAACCAGGGAACAGGTTCTTTCTCTGAACACTGATCAGTAAAGCAGGGAGTGGTTATGGGGATGTGGCCAGCGATCCTGAAGAACCTGTATGCCGCTTCTGCACAAATTTGAGGCTGCCTGGTTTGGATGAGGCCTCTTTTTGCCTCTCTGTTTCACCAGATCTTTCCTTTTTGAAGGTTTTACAAGTTTGTCCCCGGGGCTGCATTTATGCTGGGTTTCTCTGAGAGAATGGGCAAGAATCCTTCTCGACAAGCCAGGATGGTCGTGGCTCTAACTTCTCCGAGGACATGTGATATTGTTGTCAAGCTGCCTGATGTAAATATGAAATGCTGTCATCGCTCTCCTATGTTTTCCTCATAGAAAAGTGAGATTGTTGGTGTTGTTTAATTATACGGGGCCAGTTCTTAGAAGGAAAAGCTAAGTAAAGTAAGCATCAGTTTGGGTGTAAATGATGAAAGCAGCTCTTACGAGTGTTCCATCTTTTTATATTTCATCAAAGAATATTCATACAGTGATTTCATTCTTGCAAAAAGAGTATGGTGGGTATTCTTGAAGAGATGCATTTCCACCTGTGGGAGCTCCCTAAGTGTTCACATAAATACATTTGAAAAGAAAGTAATATATTCTGTCATAAATGAATTATGACCCATACCATGAAAGAAAATTGCAAGCAGAAGCAAAATCTCGTGCACAGTGAGTCAGATGAACACAGTTCGTAATTTCACATAAATTCTTTGTCAACCGAGGCAGAAGAGATTGAAATTGATTTCCATATAGGAGAAAAGGTTATCTGATCTGTTTGTTGTGAATACTTGGTACAACTACACTTTTACAGTGCTTCCAAATTCTTTTTCAGATGACCCTCTATCAAGAAGCCATGAGGCTTCCTCTATCACTTCCTGTGGGTCCGAGGATTCCAGCTTCAGAGCTGCAGCCTCCAATCTGGAATGTCTTTGCTGAAGCCCCCTCTGCAGTGCTCGAGAATTTGAAAGGTCAGAGTTGGATCAGGTTCAGAAGCAGGATGTCCTCAGTTTCTGGAATTAATTTGAACATCTTCTGAATTTTAGTTTTTTTTCTGGGATTATTTGTCTCCAGTCTGTTAGGAAATGGAATGCAATAGTGCAGGGATGGTTCAACTGAGAGAGAATATTGTGCATATATAGAGAAAGCATTTCAGGGAAATCAAGACTGACAATTATCTGAAGTGGTAACATAAACTTTCTGGCAATTATTTTGTTATGCAGAGGACTGTGTTTTTCATGCATTTTTTTAGAAGTTATGGGTGGCTGGTGGCAAAAAGTCCCTATAGCCTATACAAAAGTATCATATAGAGAAAAAAAAAAAAGCCAAAACAACCATGAAATAACATAGCACTAAAAATACAACATGTCCTCTAACGGGTTTTCTTAACAGAAAAGCAAATATTCACTGGCGTTTTATTTAACCAGCTCGCTGCTCAGTTTCGCACAACAAGATCACAACCTTTAATGAAGTCAAGTTCAACTACTCGATGCCAGCAAGCTGCTATCACATCTTGGCTCAGGATTGCAGCTCTGACCTTAAGTTCCTGGTGATGATGAAAAGTGCTGAAGAAGCTACAAACCTTAAAGCCATCAACATCAAGATTGGCAGTCAGTAAGTAACTTCTGCCAGCTGCCATCGCGTGACGGACTGCGTTGTCCACATTGGGTGGGAGAGGAGCTTGGATCTAAGCTTTCCTCAGCTTTGTTCAGCAGCCCATGGGTTTTCAGCGTTTTCCTTATTTACTTGCTGTGCACACTGAACATGATGCCTATGATGTTGTTATCTTGCATTTAGGTGACAGGAATGCACCGATGTAATTTAAACAGTTGGAATGTGCTTATGTTGTGCCAGTGATATTTAGTGAGCAAGAAAATCACTTGGTCAGTGTATGTGTATAAATGTGATACAAGCAGGATAAAAACTCTCTTCTTTTAACAGCGAAATTGACATGCATCCTGTGAACGGACAGGTGAAACTGCTGGTGGACGGGGCCGAGAGCCCCACAGACAACATTTCCCTCATATCTGCTGGTAAGTGGCACAGCATTGCCTTGTTTTCATTTTCATGTGTATGTTAGGAAAAAGAGAAGTAGACAAAAGAATTGTATCAAAGATCTTCTACAGGTTTGTATTCTGTAAGTATTTATACCCTTTGCTGTCAGGTTGTTAGTTAAGAATTTGCATGTTACTCGCTTGCACGTGAATGTTTACAAAGATCAGTTAGAGCATGAAACACTCGAGGTGGCCAAGCAAAGTAAAGCGTGACTACTGTTTCATATATTGCTGTGTCTCCCACCAGAACTCCAAATTGGAGAAGTGTATCAGTTATGGAATAAAACCTTGCTTGATAAAACCTTCACCACCCTTGTAGAATACAAGATGTTCTCATTTTGCTTCATAGGTATACATCTGGTTAGCATTCTGAAGTCTGCACAGAGAACTGTGCATGTACAGGAAAACTAGGCTGCTTTCTTATTTCCAAGCAGGGATATTTTTTCTGTAAAAGGACACAGGAGGACATTGTTTCATTCTCTGCTACACAGCTGGAGGAATGCACACTGCAGATGCTTCCTGACTGTATCTGTGGTACAGGATTCAGGATAAATCTTGCTGAAATTGGGTTAGCATCTGCCAGTGCAGCGCTCTGCCCTAATTATTATGTACTTAGTGAGCAGTAATTGTGCTAAAAATGTCCCCAATGACAATTGTGTTATTTTTGTATTTTCTTACTCCAATGCAGTGTAGTCAGAGTTTTGAATAGCTGCACAACTACACAGGTATTATAAGCAGCTCTGTAAGCCTTTCTAGGAATAAATATGATATGCTATTAACCCCAAGAAAAACAAGTAAACCTGTGATAATTATAATTATTTTCCAACTTTTTACAAACACTTGTTATTCATGTGTGCACTCTTCTTTATTTTTTTAAAGTCTATTCTTCTTGAGAACTAGTGAGGAATTCAAAGCAAAAGAGGCAAAAGAGCATTTTTTAAAAATATGATAGCTACTTTTTCCTCTATTAAAAGAGAAAGTTTGGGTCTGCTTGAAGTGTTTTTTTCTTTTTAAAATTATTTATATTCTTTTTTTCTTCTAGGTGCTTCTCTGTGGATTCACAATGAAAAGCAAGGGCTTGTACTTGTTGCCCCAGCCTTTGGTATCGATAAATTGTACTTTGATGGACAAACATTCTCGGTATAGTTTCCTCTTCATAAATCTAGATGACTTATTTCTGTAGGATCTCCTTAAATCTTTATGTATGAGTGCAAGACTGTGCGGTAGCAAAGCTAAATCTGTCCAGGCCCTGCCCCCTCTCCCCCCGTCAGAAAAAGGAACGTAAAAGAAGATAATGCAGCCAGTGCTGCGGAGTCCTTCTCTGTGTTTCTTAATAGGACATCCAAGAATACTTCACCAATACTGATTTATTCTTGCAGCAAGTGTGTGCTGGAAAGTGGGCCTGTGAACATACATAGTTTGAGTCAGCAGTGTATCTGCAAGAAGAAAGAGTTTTCAGCTTCTGTCCATGTTTGAAAGGCTGTACTAGAAAAATGGGAAACAGAAATGTAAGAAAACCAATATTATCGTGCTGCATCTATCACCTACTGGAAAACATCAATCACACAGAAGCTTCAGGATAATAGCCAAAACTAATAATTACTTAATAAGCAAGCCAGGCACAGCAGGTTTTAAAGGCTGCAATGGAGCTAAGTGCACCGCAGCATCATGGGAGTTTGGCATCTGACTGTGAGGGATGTGTGAGTTCTTAGCAAAGAAGGAAAGCATTTATATGTTTGTGTGTTGCCATGCTGGAACTAGATGATCTTTGAGGTCCCTTCCAACCCAAGCTGCTCTATGATATGTTATGATACTGAAAGGTACATACATAGCAAAAATCTGTTCCACACTGTTGTTGTGTTTGTTTGTTTTAAATTTGAAATGTTTTTTACTATTCTTTTCTTGAAGATTCAAGTTGCTTTATGGATGGCAGGGAAAACATGTGGAATCTGTGGAAAATATGATGCAGAATGTGAACAGGAGTATCGGATGCCCAATGGATATCTAGCAAAAGATGCTGTGAGCTTTGGTCATTCTTGGATCTTGGAAGAAGCGCCCTGTAAAGGAAGTATGAAAACTATGATTAATTTAATTTAGTATTGTTTAGAAAATGTTAAATCTGTAAATACATTGGGAAAAACATTTGTGAAGGTCTCACTCTTCAGTTATATTAAATATAACCAATATTTTTCAGCTTAGAAAGGAATAAGAAATTAGAAGTTAGTCAAATCCAAAATAAACCCAATCGGTTGAAATGAATCAAGCTGAAATGAAACCACTGTTTTGAAGTGAAAACTATGAAGAAGAAGAAGGTTAAATAAAAAAAGTAAGAAAATAAATTCACTTAGAATATTTTGGTGTAAGCAAATATAACTTTCCAGCCAACATTTGATCCACCAAAAAAGCAGATGGGGATTAGTAATTACTATGGCTCACCACCTGAGTTTCGAACCAGTGCAACCTGTCGAACATTTGAGCACACGAGTAGCTCCAGTGACTTAATTACATAGTTAAAATGAAGGAAAAAATAAAAGGGCTGTATTTTAAATATTTCAGTAGATTAGGATCTTACAGTGTGCTCCATTCCCTCAGCTGAGGTTATGGTACAACAGCATCCCATGGAGGAGGGAGGAGAACAAGCACATTGCCTTTGTGAACCTGATGGGAAGGACTTACTGTTACCTGGAGATGACTTTCACGTGTCCATCTGTATATCAACTGTCATTCTTCTATGTGTCTTCGTAAAGAATACCTGGCATCATACTTGCTTTAGATGTATATGCAGTTCATAGGCGTGCACACAACAAAATTCATTCTATTGCTAGTTGCAACACTCTGTGTTTCCCTCCAGCATATGGTGAAAATGACTGACATGCTGAGATTAAAGCTTAGACGTGGTTCATTTAGCTACTCACACACTTGTAACTTGTCCTGGGAATCCAAAATGGGACCAGTATTACCAGCTGGCAGCAGTGATATTTGCTCTCTCTGCAGCAGTTTTGAGTCTGAATGATGGTGGTAATGGTGTAATTCTTCAGTTATTGTTTTTATTTGTTTGGAAACACCCCTCTCCTCTTTCTACTGATGAATACTCAAAGCCTTTGTATATGGTTTGGTGGCTATTCAGTGAGCCAGTTTACTTTGCAAAATGTTTATTGGAATGTATTCCAGACTGTTTTTACATGTTAATCTAGAAATTAAGCCAGTTACAGTTGAAATTAACTTTCGGTAACTCCATATCTAATTAGCTGATTTGAAAAGCTTATCAGTCAGTGATGCAGTGCTGCTTTGCTTATGATCAACATTCAGTCTTTATAGAAGCGATTTGCTTGCAGGTTGGCAGATGGGTCAGTCTGGGGAGATTTGAAAATTTTGCACGTAAGAACATAAACTACCATCAGTGATTCTGTTACAGCTTGTAAACTGCACCGCTCATTCGTGAAGCTTGAGAAGACGGTTCAGCTTGCGGGTGTTGATTCCAAGTGCTACTCTACAGAGCCTGTGCTGCGCTGTATGAAGGGATGCTCAGCTACCAAGACAACTCCAGTCACTGTTGGCTTCCACTGCCTCCCAGCTGGTAAGCCCACAGAAACTGTAATTTTGTAATTGTAATTGTTGTAATTTTACTGCTTGTCATGGCAGTGGCATTTAAAATCCAAACTGATCTCCTCTTCATGATCTTTGAATCTAACACTGTAAGGAGAGGGCAAGAGCACAGTTAACATGTGACTCGGCTGTATTGCAGTGTGTGATAATTCAGGATCGTGTTCCACACCTTGAAACAGTGATCCTCATCCTGTATGTTTTCACTTATCACTGCCTTTGGGCATAATCCTGTTTTCCTGAGCTGATTTAGGCCATAGAAAGGCAGGTGTGAACAGGATTCCTGCCCGCAGGTGTGGCAATACTGAACATATCCCTTCTACAACTATATTGTAGAGATATTGCATATCAAAGAGATTAGATTAGATAGGTATAGATCATATTGATTATATGTTTGTGTGTGTTTTCAAAGTGTGTTTTCCTTTAAGACCACAATTTCTTTTTCTAAATATATTCTTAATAAAATTCTACATGGAAGAACTGGTTTCCAATGTAGAAATGACTTATTAAGTAAGTGATTTTCCTGGAACATCTCAGCTTGACTTAGCCGAGTATAAATATGGATGACAGCAAGGAGAAGCCAAGCCTGGTTTAATTAATGATGAATGCATGGTAAATGCCATACCTTGCAAAACTGCTTCTAAAGCACGCTGCTTGCTTTCCATTTCTTGTTAATCATCAGATTCAGCTACGAGCCTGGCTGACAAACAGATGAAGTTCGACCAGAAGTCAGAGGACATGCAGGATACTGTTGATGCACACACAGCATGTTCATGTGAGAATGAAGAATGCAGTACATGAAGCTGTACATTGCAGCACTGGAGAATACAGAAACATTTTAGTTTTTATTGTGTTGTGTAAGAAGACTCATCTCAAGAGGCAATGGAAACATTAAATTAAATGCTTAAAGATGTGTGGAATTTTCACAAGTAATTTAAAGTATTAAACTTTATTATTGTAGAAACTATTCTAATTGCCTATAACTATTTGATTTCATAATAAATACATGCATGGAAAAACCAGTGAAGGCTTCCTTCTTTCACTGACTGTGGCAAGAGGATGTCTGCAGTGCTTCTCTTCACCCCAGTCGAGGCTGTAACAGCCTGCTGTGTAGATGTACATCAGGCAAGGGTCTGTGGCAGGCCCCACCTGCAATATGGGTCGAGTGGAGTGGCAGAAGCTGCCTACCAGGCTCCAGCTTGTTTCCCCTGTGCTTCCTTCCCTGTTGCTGAGATCCTGGGCACCACAGTAGGAATTGGTTGGCTCTGGGTGAGATGCGCCCTCTGTGGCAGTAATGCAAAGAGGTGCTCTGCAGTGACGGTGTGTAGGGAACAGCTTTCAGGGAATGAACCTGAACCTCAAGCATATGGACAAGGCTGCTCTGGGGGAGGAAATGTGACGTTCCTGACGCAGCACACAGAAGCTGGTGTGAGTCAAGAGTCTCTGAGCAGAGCTGGGGTGCAAAGTCCACCCACAGCAGGTCTCTCTGGGCATGGTGAGGGATGTACTTGGCTGCCCTGCGTGCTGGAGGCCATAGGGTTCCAGGTGTGTGCTCCTGGTTGGTCTTTCTGTCTGCTCTGGGCTGGACTGGCAGGCTGCATGCCTCTAGTTTTTTGGTAAATTAATTAAAAGAGAAATAAGTGATTTGATTCTTAAAATCAGGAGCAACCAATGAAGGCAAAACTGCACTTTCCTCTTAGCACATGAATGGAAAGGTGGTTGCTGGGCAAAGGGATTGAGAAAGCTCTATACATGTTGTGTCGTTCTGCTTTCTCCAGCAGCATGGGCACTTCAGTGTTTGTATGTATGTGGGTTTTATAGTTTGGAAAGGTAATGTCCTCGATACTGAAGGGAAGCTGTTGGAAAGTCAGCATGAATGAAAGACACCCAAGCAGTGGTGGAAAGGTCTTGGGGGCTCTCAACACAGGCATCCGGGTTTGTGGGTAGTAGGAAACTCAGGGAAGCACAGCCCTGCCCAGGAGCATCCAGCACACCAGAGGCTTCTTGCAAAGGTGGGCTGCTGGCTCCTTTCCTCAGCCAAAGCTGCGGTGTCGCTGCTGGGGGCCTGGCCTCATCCTGCCCTGTGCTGTAGGCACTGTTTGGAGCTCCACGGAAATAATGTTCATGGCTGCTCCTGGGCACAGCAGAGCTGATCATTACCTCACAATGGTGATTTTCTTTTTCTTATTTCCCCTCCCCCCCAACTTTTTTTTTTTATTTAATTCAGGTTATATCCTCTGTAGAAATTTAAATGGTGAAGAGGTGTGAGTATGTGGGGATGTAAGGGGCCATAACGAGAGTTTAAATTGTTCTTGACAGGCTGGAGAAATGGCCCACAAAGATTAAGAGATTCAGATCCACACAGAAAAACGCAAAGATGAAGTCTCCACTGACAGACTGTGGGGCAGCATCAGAGAGGATCCTGTCTGGGCCACATCATGGCGGGGTGCTTGGGGTGCAGTATTCGCCACCTGGATGTTGGAGTGGGGTGGGTGAATGCAACAGTGAGCAAGAGATGAAAACGGAACACTCCTCTGGGAGTGCCAGCTTTGCTGGGAAAGGACTCCACCACAACTGAGGGCAGTTTCCTCACTGACAGGTCTGTAGTATTTGGAAATTACATCCAGAGATACGATGGAGCTGGTTCCAAACTCCTTCTGTATTGGAATATGAGCTGCTATACCTCAAAGTCCAGACATGGCTAAGTTACATAGGTAGGGTTTGTTGGTTGGTTGTTTCATTTTTAAATTGTGCAGCTGCATATAAACTTTCAGTAGTATGTTGGATTTTGAGCCCCTCATCAGGTGCCAGCAGATGTGTGTGCAAGTCCTTTAGCTATGTTTACTGTTTGCCAAATCTCAGAAGACATGACACAACTCCCTGGAGCTGCTCACTGCTTGTATGGTTTAGCTTCTCTGTCATACTCTGTCACTTTGATAGAGGAAGAGGTTAAAACAAACAGAACCAGGATACAGTACTGGTAAAACATCCTTGAAGCATGAACAAAGTCTAGTGTTTCAGGTATTATAAATTATATTCCAATTGCTCAATTATAAAAAAAATATCATCTGAAAAGCCTTAGGAAAACCAAATTGTCTTGAATAGGAGTCCCTGCTGCATTGATTAAAACTGAGATGAGTTCTGTGCCCTGTGAGCCCATGCCTCCCATGGTGGTTGAGAAGAAGCTTTGGTTCCCCTCCCCAGTTTGTGTGCACACAGTGGCAGCCCCAAAGGAGAGAATTCAAATCCCAGGGCTGCTGGGCTGCCTCTCCAACAGTTCTGCAATGGGAGCAGTGCCCACAGCCCTGCCACCATTGTCCAACTCCACACCTTGCCTGAGGACAAGGGACCAGAGACCCAGCACCTCGAGCAGCCTTATGGAGCTCCTGAAAAGGGAACCTGCTCACAGACCCGCTCATGGAAAGCAGCAGGGTGAGTGGCAGCAGGTGGTTGGCTGCTGACTGACAGAAGAAAGGACCCCACTTTGTGAGGATGCTGCCCCTTTTTTTGGCAAACCAGAGCATGTGCATCTTCATCAGCTGGGAGCCTTGTGTCCACAGTGTCTGGCAGCCCCTCCAGGTCCCTCCTCACCCACATCTGTGCGTGGCTGGCAAGAACACTGATGTGATGTCCTGGTAAGAAAGGCAGGTAAGGGAGACACGCATGCAAGCAATTGCTTTTTGCTGCAGCCTTTGTGACAGTGGTGGGAATTAGTGTTGCTAGGTGGATTCCCCACCCTCAGGGAGCAGTGCTGTGGATGACAGTGTGTGCAGCAGCCAAAGGGCATCAGTGCAGTGTCACAGGAGTGCTGCCCAGGCTTTGCATAATCCTTGTGAAGCACTATCGGTTAGATAAGGTTTGTTCCTTTTGGTCAGGTCAGGATAACCTGGGCAAAGTTAGCGCAGGCTGCAATAGCTCCAAATGCTTCCAATGAGTAATGATAGTAATTTTCCTTACACAATAAATATTTTGGCTTTAGTGATATTTTAGTACTTTTAACCATCTTTTCCAAAAGGTGCTTTCTGAGCATTTAGATGGTGAGGTGAGAAGATTGCCTGTGATGATTTTGGCACAGCAATGACTTTGGTCAGGAGTCCCCAGCCCTATCACCAACCGGATTGGAGTGGTCGATAAGAAACTGATAACTCAACAGAATTCCCTGGACTTGTTAATAATTCTTCTATAAAAGGTGCACATTTCCCCTGTAGTGTTCAGTCACTTTTAGCATGAGGGGACTCATCCTGGCCCTGGTGTTCGCCCTTGTGGGTAAGTCTGAACTTTACGGGTACCACAGAGCCACGATGGCCACTGTGCTCCACAGGCACCTCCTCAGAGCCTTTCAGGGACATTCCCAGCATAATCTGCTGAAGCTTTTTTCTGACTTTTGACTGTCAGCTGTTGGATTTCTGTGCCTGAGCACAGCAGCATGTAGCAAGCAGGGCTGGAGCGGGCTTGGAGTCCCGGGGGTGTGCTCCAGAAGCCCAGTGCTGGCTGTCCGACTGCCATCAGCTCACTGAGTAAATGAACAATAAATGCTAAAGTGCCCACAGAGTTTGGGTTTCTTCACGCATGCTTCTCTTTCCTCCCATGCAGGGGCCCAGAAGCATGACCTTGGTAAGTGCACTCCCTATATCTGCCAGTGGTATGTACTTCCTTCCCACCCCTTCCAATGCTGGGACGGTTCATGAGGCTGATAGCACAGCAGTCATAGTAAAGAAGGCATTTTTATCATTTATTTTTCAATAGAGCCTGGTTTTCGTACTGGCAAGACCTACCTGTATGACTATGAGGGCCTCATCCTTCATGGGCTGCCAGGCAAGGGGTTGGCAACAGCGGGGCTGAAGCTGATCTGCAGGCTGGAGATCAGCCATGTGTCTCACAGCGACCACCTTCTGCAGGTAACTTCCCAAGGGTATGTGAACCCATCCCTCCTCCTGCACCACACAGCTTGGGATATAGTTCCTGCTGGAAAAATAAACAAGACAGGAATACAAACCTTGCACAAAACCTTAGGGTCCTTCCAGGTGCTGAGACGACCCCACAGTCCCGGTGTCAGACTGAGTGGCTTTGCACAGGCAGCACTCTCACCTTGCAGGTCTCTGGAGGGAGGCAGAGCTGCTCCAGTGCCTGAGCCCACTTACAAATCGTAATTGGATTCAGCTCCATGGAAAGACATGGCAGGCTGCTGCTTTAAGGCAGTGCCCTTAAGATAGTTTTAGTAAAGGCAACAATAAACTTGAGTGTAAAAATTAAGAAAATTCAGGTATGAGGAATTTGTGTTTTTCAGCCCGGTCCATGACGTGAAAAAAACTCAGTGCTAAAATTCATTCATTACAAATGAAATTCACGTCTGTCTCCATTATATTCCTTTTGACATTCTTCAGATAGACTTTAATTCAAATGTAAAGGATTGTAATGCTCTCACTTGGCATAATGATATCAGATCTGGAAGTGCTGTTACACATAGGAAAGGTTAAAACAAACATCTTAAGAAACTGTCATAGAACAAAAGACAATAGAGAAGGGATGACTATGTGGAGAGAGCTCTAAGAGGGCGCTTTGCATTTGTCCTAGAGTTTACTGAACCTGTAACTCTGTGCATCTATTACTGAAACAGTGAGAGGGAATATCTACTTTCAGATACGACACAAAACAGCAGGATTTTTTTGTAGCCTCACTAAATTTGGTATAACCTCAGCAATTACAGAAAAAAAGTCTTGAATAGGATTTACTTTAAGAGGCAAGCCACCGCTGTAGCTCTGATTTAAAAAGCCCAAAACAGAGCCCTAAAACCACACCATTTCTCTCTGCGCAGAAACATGCGCCTCAGTGCAGGAGGGCAGGAGGCATGTCTGCGCGTGTGACTGTGTACGTGTGTGCATGCAGGCACACGCTTCCCACTAGGGAG